ATATCATCTAGAATGCTTCTAATTGGTCAATACTTCGACTGGTAAAACTATTAAAGAAGCTCCAGTATAATATACTGATCTACTTTAAGAGAGTCTTAAATTAAAGTTGATTTAACTATTTTCATTTATCGATATCACTACATGGTATTTTGTCAATAATATAGTCTAGTGCTACTAAATTTATGTTATTTAATCTTATAAATAGCACCGTAATAATTATCTTATTTCCTAATTTGTTATCTAATCTAAGTAAATTATATTTGATTTTATTCATTATTAAATATGATTATTTTTCTCTTTACATATATATGATAATTATGAAATTGGGAGATACAGTAACCATATAATTAAATGACTATCCGGTATCTTCGTTTAGACCGTATTTTAAAATTTAAAGTTTTTAGATGATCAATACGGGTATATTATGCAATAAGCAAGTTAATTTTTAAAATAGATTAACATAAAATTATTAATATTCGTAATATCTTACAATATAAATGAAAAACTTCAAGAGAAAGAATATCAGATTTACACGATCAAGTTGTATATTGTAAACGCATAAACTACCAGATTTTATAACATGCATTAACTTTTTTTGTTGGATACTTGTTATCTAATTAATTCATTCTAACTTCATGGAGCACATAGATGGTTAAAAGCAATATCTTAATTATAACATTTTAACTATGATAACGCTAGAGTATGCGTTCTATCTGAAGTCATGGTAGTAAAAGACGAGTAAAATTTATAATTGTCGATATATTGTACATGTTCAAGTAGCATAGATTTACCGATTAAAGTTAGGTTATTAATTCTATTTTATTCTATCTATATTATTATCATTTGATAATTTTTTGCATAATACCAAATGTACGCTATTTTGAGCTTACTGGATTAAGATGATATAAAGAAACTATCCTACGTTGCTACTATTTCCACAACCAAGAGATAAACCTGATCTGAGTACAAATGGTTATGTAAAAAGATTTTATGTATTTGAATTATGTGATTAATGCAACATGTCTAATATCTCTACAATGTTGATATAATCTAAAATTAAGTCTATTTTTGGTTAGCGTATGAAATTCTTTATTGAATTACTTGAATTAATCTTTGATAGCGTTGTGAAATAAAATAATAATAGTATAAGTACAATTATCTCCTTATAAAGCTAAAATCTACTAACGATAGTATCATTAATATGCGGCTGTAATTTTATGCATAGTTTTGAAAAGAATCTCGATCATTAGGAACGATAACTTTATCTGAAATATAAGTTAGATATCTCTAATAAACTACAGTATGCATCGTTAATGAGTTTTTATAAAATTTGTTATAAATTTAGCTATCAGCTTGGAAATGATTGTTTTAAGTTGTTTAGTATATATCACCGTTGAAATGATAAAAGTTAAAATGATTCATTTAATCGATAGGTTATGTTGATTCATAGTTATGATGAAACAGATAATAGTCTTAATGTAAATTTTGGAATCTTTAATTACTTAGTAAAGCATTTGATGACCATAATTCTAAAGATAACATCTTTGAAGAAAGTGATACGGTAAATATTGCTAACAAAACCGTATACTTACATTCTTCTAAAAATATTACAATTATCCTTTATTATTGTTCACATTCTAGAGTCTTTATAGTGCAAAAAATATGAGATCAAGCAACCTTTAGTGAAAAGATTTACTCCCTAACACGGATATTTTTTAGTCTCTCCTTTTCTCATTCGCAGGCAATACAGCCATCATTTTACATGACACATTTTCCGATCGGGTAACTAACGCGATAATTTGAGTATTTTAGGTTTTTTATCGTCATACTTGGTATGTTAAATTAATAGTCTGCTATGCATCATGCCTAAGTGCTCTAGATATAGGCAGGAAATAAAACGTAGATGATTAAGGGATCATTACAATCGATCGTTTATTTATAGATGATGGCACAGATCGAACACCCTATTCATCCTATGACTAGTACCATCTACTATACTTTAGAATTTAAACTCTGTCGCTACATTTCGTGTTGATTAGCTTTATTTTTGGAAAATTATTAATACTGCATACAGCTGCTTCTATTCTAAGCGAATATTTACGTAACATGTTGATAGTTCAAATGATATAATTAATTACTAATATATCGTTAGTCAGTGATATAGGTTAAAGGCGAAGATCTTCTCCCAAATTTCTTTTACAGATGTGTTTTCAATCTTGTTTATTTAGACAATAACTTACTTGTTTATCCGACATTGCCACCTATTAATACAATACGATAAGCAATCATGACTATTTTGAACTTATTACGAATAGCTTTGCTGGATACAACTCAATTTAAATAAGGTAACAAATAGAAATAGACTCCTCCATAAAATAGAAAAACAGAAAACTTAGAATTCTCCTTGTTATTCAATTCGTCTATGTTGACATATTCACTTAATTTTGGTTGCTAGATACAGTTTTGAGGTCATACTGTTTGACATTAGTAAACGGATGAGGAGACCAATTTGATACTAACTCCTACGTAGAACGGTATGATGTAGACTTTAACCCTTTATTCCTTTAACATTATTGGCACATATTGAAGTATTCATTAAAACCTGATCGTAATCTTGCAATAGTAAGCTCTATAGTTATGTAATAAGATCAATATCTATAACTTTAGCGATAGTTTAATAACAAATCGAATAGACTGGCTCCTATGCTTATTAGCACGGTTGTGACTGTCGATCGTTCAGTTTCAATAATAAATATAAAATCGGTTGTTCTAATGCAAAAATTTTCTATATAAAATAAGCTGAACACTACTCAGATTGAATTAATACCTCTAAAGTCAATATTTACTTGTACAAATACGTCAATATTAATAAGTTAAGCGTGGTTTAATAATTCCTCATAAATTATTGAAATAAATAACGATAGTATGTTCAAGAAGGATGGATAATGAAAAGGATGAGAATGTATCCAACGAACGCTAATCTTGATTTGATAGGTAAAAAGACAACATTCGTTAATGCAGGGGTTGCAGCCATTCTATATTTTATCATTACTTATGCATAAGTGTTTATTTGTCATACAACAGTGGTTCAATAACGCGCTATGATTTACAAGGGTCGGAAATGTATTGCCTATTATGCATTCTGTAACTAATTTTTTATCTGAGTTGATCCGAGAGCAACGTTAAAGTACAAGACTATTCGATATGTTTATCAATTAATTATGAAAGAATTGCATATATATATATTATAGTTAACGACAACTTTCATTATTTCGGTACAAGGTTGCCAATTCCTAATTTAAGATATTATCACCGTGATCATATTGTAGTATCGACTATTGAAGTTAATTATTCAAAGGATCGCTCATCTAGACTAAAAGTGTGTGAAAAATAAGTGAATTATCATATTTTTACTAAAGGTGAGAGATTTACAGTCAAGAGTGGTAATGTAGACCACATCTATTGCCAACAGATACATAAGGTAAGGTATCTCAAAAATAATATGACAAGAGCTTCGGCTTCTAATTAAATTTAATTGTATAGATCAATTCTTTAATCGACCTATAAGGACTGAATAAGATGAATTTCATATCTTTACTAATCATAACTCCTATTGTTGCCCTTGCAAATAATCAAACAGATGTAATTTCCAGTCATTGTATAATCTAACATTAACTAGATTAATTCTACCCCTCCTATTGACTGTCAATCGCAGTGTAAATGCTAACTAGGTAGGGGAAAAAATAAAGCATACCCAAGTTAAATTGATTGGTTATAGGAATGTAGTATTTCTATCATTTTATCAATATCCTTATGGATTATTCTTAACTCGTTAAGAGTCTGCAAGCAATCTATTTGATAATACTTCCTCATTTCTGATATTAATCAATCGATTAGGATAGTGATATACTTTACCGGTATATTAAATTTTGATTCGTGCAATAAGCTTTATCTGTATTTTACATCTCGGGAGAATTTAATTAAATACTCGAATTGCATTTGTTATCATTTAAAATTTATAATATCTGTCACTTTTCATTCTGCTACAACAGCGGATAAATGACAGTAAAGTAAAATGTTGCACTTTAGATCGGAATGAAATCCCGGATAGCAACTATACATCTGTAAAATTATCGTAATTTGTTAACTAATACCAACCTTGTACTAATCTATTGTTAATAGAGTCATAAACTAGATTATTCACCTTATATATTCATTACTAGTTGCGGCAAACATTTGTACAGAATTCTAAGCTAAGTTTCAGTACGCTAATAAACTGCTAGTGGGCAGTCATTTATGTACCACGCCAGCAGTGACGAAGATTTGTTAATGAATCAAGCATTTGTCTTAAGTTTTATAATGGCGAGCTTTTTCTCTTGCACTCTTGCTACCTAAACGTGTAAGATTTAATATGAAATAATTTGTATTTTAATAATCATTTTTATTGATACAGTATATAAATATTCGATCGTATAGGAGGCTTATAAAAAATATGTCGTGGCGTTTTTATGTTATTTCACCATAGCTCAATCTATTTCGTAAAACACAATGCTGTCATCATTTAAAAGATAATTAACTAATTTCTTTTCTAATTTCTTACAACCCAGTCTCCAGGTTAAATAAAGAGTAGTTTGTTCTCACGATTTAAATCAGATGACATTCGTTCTATCCTTGCCTATAATGAAGAGAACGAATGCTATAAGGAATGTCGGTATCGGTATCTCTTCTAAGCAGAGAATATCCAATCATGTTTGATTATCGGCCGTGCTGGTATTTCTCACGATAGAATAAATCAGATACCACGGGAAATACTTTATAAATGACTTGTCAATACGTACAACAGCCGACTACTTTTTCTCATTTTTTAACCTATTTGAATGGCAAAAACAATAAGCCGACGATGTTTGATAATGAAACCCAATGTTTGCAAGAGATTTGTAATCGTGATCGCAATTAATAGATACAAAAATTATACATATAATCTTTATTTATCGACTCATTTATAAAATCTATACTTGCCTTCGATCTAATTATATAATTACATCAGTTAGCATAATAATATTTTTATAATAATCATGTGAATTTTTATATGCCTTAATTTTATATTTCTTAGTCAATTTTAAGTCATCCTATTATTACTGTTTCTGTTTGGCAATCAACACAATATAATAATGGAAATAATCATCGTTGCAAAGATTCCTACTTTACATCATTGGTTAGAATTAACTTCTTTATAATTTCACAATCAACATTCATAGAAGTTATTTCTTTCAATATTTAATCATTGGCATCTCTATGAGGAATAAATTGTTAATTGACGTTAATCTTGATAGGTAGGACACCTGCAGGATGTTGCATTATTTTCATTTTAATTCTCCATGATTCGTTTGAATCAAGTCTAATTTCTTTCATTATTAATTAAAATGAAAGTCAATTCATAGTAATATAAATCTTAATCGTCACCACCATTAGACTGTAACAAGATATTGTGTTAAAAATGATTCTAGCCGAGAGTTATCAATTTCAGCTTTAGTTGGAAATGAATCAATCTTAATTGAGAAACAGCTAGATAATAAGCAATCCAAACTTTCAACAGGCTTTGGATTATTCAGTTGACCTTCCATTACAATATAGTCAAATTAATTAGAATTATTATATGATAGAAATAACTCCAGAAATCATCTAAATAAATATATAATAATGATGAATAATTTATTCTAAGTCTCAACCAGTTAAGATCGAATATTTATTAAATGGAAATGTTACGATCGCAGTATGGATGTTCACATCATCACAAGGAGGTATTTTTCCTTTATTATCGGTATAGATAATAATCAATATTTAAATCCATTTATCAATTAATTATTGATTATCAACAATTATGTTTTTGATTCTCCTATCCATCTATCAATAAATGATGCGATGGGATTGCAGTTAGCTCTGTATTTATCCGACCGACTTTGCACGTTGTTATTATTGAATAGAAATTGGTAATTGGCGATCAAGATAAATTTCGAGATGAACCAGTTTTGATTATTTATAGTTAATAGTCAACTAAAAAATTTCTCGATAGATTATTTATTAATTAATTTCAACTTCCGATCATCATAAATCAAACAGCTGCAATATCAACATTAAAACTATATTGCGTATTAGTTCATCCATGTAATATATTCCACAGCATTGTCTTTGATTCCTTTTGCGGTAAAATGAAGGGTATAGTAACTATAAATTGTGCATTCGTCTCTATTCCCTGAATAGATTACTATCAAAGTTATTTTTGTCTATCCATCTTATGAGGGAAATTCTTCATTCTTAAATATTTTGCTGCATATTATCATTAATTATATTTCTTGTTTTTATAATACAATTGACTGAATCTTAACTTCTCATTTACCCATATTGGCTAATTTCGTCATTATATTGGAATAAAGTTATGCATCATTCTTAAAAATTGTTACTTATTGTCTTGTTAACAAGCAGTTACAGCCTATGCTCACCTATTGTGAAAGCGAATGCATTAAAAATCAAAAGAAACCTTATCGAAGATTAATATTCCCATGGATGGTCCAATCTTTTATTTCTGCCCGAGAGTTCACATTTATTGCAACTAAAACCAGTCGTAACAGTGAATAAGAGATTCATCACGTTCACGCTGTATTGGAACGCGCAAGTAAATTTGATGCTTTTAATCCATTTTTGACGATGATAGCATATATTAAAGGAATCTTTTGCGAACTTATAAGATCAATATATTAAGTAAAAAGGTTCCGTATTTTCATTCCAATTGGTATTCAAAGCTTTTCTACATCTCAAATTTATCCAGATTTTCTCCACTAATCTTAAGACGTCGACTACTATAATTAATTAACAAGTCCGTTATCAGAATCGTGAATTTAATTGTTTCGGACCAGCTATTACAATTTCTCGCGTTAATCTGCATAAAAAACGATAGTGCCAACTATTACAAGAGTAAGTTTCGCCAGGTTTATTAATATACTGTATTTAACGATACAATTTAAGCCATCCATTAATCTATTTCCCATAAAGTAATGATTTTTTTGGCTTATTTTTTATACATCTTTCCAGTTTGAATTCGTTACTAAGATTTGAATAATTTTTATAAAGGCCTAGGTTTTATCCTACTAGAAATTCCCATAAATAAGACGATTTCATTTTTGTTTCTACAAAAACTACCGTACTAGAAATAAAATTTTCAAAGTTATCGCCGTTATAACTCTTTAGCTATTTGTTAAATGTCATCAAGAATACTAAGACCTTCAAATTTAATTTTTTTTATAGGCCCTCAAGGCAAATTTACCTAATTATAAATTAAGATTGCTGAAAAAATTGCCACATCAATTTTTTATTACTTTTTAAAAGACAATTCAAAATAGTAGTACCGTAAAAATACACCAATTTTTTACGTAGTAGATCAAATTTATATAAAAGTATTCCTACGATTAAATTTTGTAAGAAAATTTACTAATTTCAGTAGTAGTTTCACGATGTCATTGCGCAGTTTACCTCCTTTCTTGATTGCTTTTAATGTTGTCGGTTACTTGCTACAATATGTGGCTCCTATTATTGGTCTACTTGGCAACGTTCTGGTCATTATAGTTTATGCACGAACTTATAAGCGTGGCAATAACAACACTGACTATTTAGTTATTAATTTAGCTGTCGTCGATATTGCTATCGTCGTGTCTCAATCATTGGAAGGGTTATGGTTTTACTTTCGTCTTCATTTTCGATATGCACTAAATAATATTTTATGCCGTTTTGAATGGTTTGTCTACTTTCTTGTCTTTGCACTATCGGCTGCTACTCTATTATCTATTAGTATTGAACGATTTCGTGCAATTATGATGCCATTGCGAGGAGCATGGAATAAGAGGCAGGTTAAAGTGTTAATATCTTGTATATGGTTAATATGTACAATTGTTGTAACTCCTGTTCTCTTCATTAGCCGACTCGATACACAATATCATAACTATCCGATTATTTTAGGCATCAAAGGTAATGGATCCAATAGTAATAGCGGCAGTAACTTTAGTAATGTTTCAACTACGGTTATGACTATGAGCAATAGAACAATATATTTCTGTATCATATCCGGGCCTAATTCTAATGCTTACACTGATGCATTTCCAATTATGTACGCTATAATTATTTATATCCTGCCATTAATTATCATGATAACCGCCTATAGTTGTATGACCTGGAAGTTATGGAAGCATGTCGAGTTAGGGCAAAATACGATGTCAATTCGCCGCAAGCAAAAGAGAAATCGAAAGATTGTTATGATGTTCTCAATTATCACGATAGCCTTCATGTTATGTTATGCCCCATTTGTAGCTTGGTATATTATCGAACAATTTTATACACCTTATCATATTGGATATCGTCTAAGTTTGAATAGGGCATTTTTTAGTCGGTTTAAATACTTACCTGCGTTGAACTCAGCGATCAATCCGGTTGTTTATGCGTTTGCAGGAAATAGTTTCAAGCAACGCCTAAGAGAATTATTTCGGACAGTACGTCGTCGTAAATCTTATAATCTCAATTTAACCGACATGATTAATATTTCGCCTCGACTTTCCTCACTGAAAGGGCAAAGTCAAAATATTTCAAAATGATACCTAGCCGATTTTAGCGACCTCATCTGTCGACATATGTTTAGATACTTGTAATGTATCGTTATTCTCAGATAAGCTCTATTCTATAGGGCGTTGTGCTATCAGGAACTAAGTTGCCATTTCAAGATTTTTTTTAAGTGATAATGGATGTTAACATTAATTCTTAATGTCTAATTCATAATATATTGTTTCATGACGTTAAATTGTATCTGAAGTAATCATTGAATTAAATTTGTAATAGCACTGTAGAGCACTGTTTATCTGGAGTCAATATTTCAACAGTAACATCAATCAGATATTCATCTATTATTGAGCTCTATCTTTGTAAAATAAAGAGTTTAGAATCATGCAAAAGTAGCTCTTTTCAGCTTATAAGATTAAGTATCTAAGAATATCTTTCAAATCAGCTGTAATTCTAAATTGAGCTAATATTAAAATAATCCTAGAAATAATCTTGAATTTTGATTAATTACCAGCAGCTTTCTATACTATTTTTCCCCTCGCTTTAGCTTGCTCTCTTGAATGCCTCATTTAATATCAGGATTTTGTAATCGTAATCTTAATATACTAATTTTCTTGGATTGGATAACGAGTATTTGACGTCTTCCGTATGTTGTAACAGATTGCTTTGATTTACCGTGCCTATGACATAATCCTTAAAATAGCTCCATGCTTTGATTTTAATTGTCGTTATCTATTCTAATTTACTGACTGTTAACTTATCGAGCTCATGATTGCAGCTTAAAATTCTTATAACTTAATCTTCATTTTATAGGAGGAAATATCAAGAAGCGATAATAGTTGATTGCTATCGTCCATAAATTGAGTACAACCCGAATAGAATTTTATATCGTGACTTACTTCTGTTGTTCTCTCCCCATCTTACTCAATTCCTAATTTTCCATCTATTGTAACTTTAGACTGATATCTACGTGATCGATGAACTTCCCATAAACTTTTCTTTTCTGAATTTACATACATAAATTTAAATGGCAATATTCTATGATTGATTTAATAACGGATTGTTACTCTCAAGTATTTAGACGAATATAAAATATCAATTTCTGCTAGCTGCCAAATTGTCTTATACCGAAAATATTTGCCGAGTAGTTATATGCTTTAATTTCAATACATTTAATGCTATACATCTTTGTTATGTCTTTAAAAATTTTAAGCTTATACAGTAACAAGCCTGTAAAGCAATTTCAAGTTAAAAACACTTTTACTTTAATTGGTGCTGATTTGGATCTTTGCAATTCACCTTGTAATCGGACACGAAAGCAATTCTGAAGTCTTTCTTATTTATTTCATCTCTTTCGTATTTGTATCCTTGCTTGCTATTTCACATTAGCATTATCCAATTAGGCTATTGAAAGAATTTCTGGCTTGATTTTTAAAATCGATTCCCTTTTGACATAAAGTGAAGAAGTACAATATTTCCTTCTCATAATGGAACTTTGATCGCGCCACTATAGGATCGATGTACCTATTTCTGGCTAACCTACTGAAATCTCAAGTAACCTACATATTCTGTCAATGTCCTGTATACTCTATGATGTACCAAATTCGTAAATTTGTGTAGGTACCATGAATGATTAGACTGACAAGATATACATATAGTATTACTTTCCATGAGTGGATATCAATCAGTATGATATAAAAGCCTGTATTTTATCTTAATTTATTGATAGGCTAACATATAAGCATGATGGTAGCAAATACGAGCAATAAAGTCGTACTGTGTTCAATAATCTCCAGGTCTAACTCGTACTACTATAATGGTAAATGACGGCATAATTATCGTTTTAACGGTGAATTGATGCTAAGGTCGCCAATGCACAAGTATGTGAAGGAATCTCAGATGCTTCTCTACCTTATCCAGGCAATCACCTTACTCAGCTACTGTATTTAGTTGCATTATTGTACAGTACTATCATACAGCTATATTATGGGGTATTCACCAAGGTTCCATTTGCAGACAAAAGTCTGACTTTCCATTACTGTACATGCAATGAAAATTAGGTATTGCATAGTAGTTTCTGCCGTTAAACCTGGTCTAGAGAATCGTCTTTCTGAGCTATTTCGTGATAGGATCGTACTCTAGCGCAGCTTATAGAATTGACAGTGCTTAAATTTGGAGAATATAGACAGTAGGTCAGCTTTTCTGGGAGTTTACATGCTCATATGCAGTATTTACCACTAGATAGTACAGGATATTTTCTGCCGCGTGAATACTGTTACAGTGGGTGTTAAACTTGCTCGGACCTTGAAATTGCGACTAATAAATTACGCTAGAGGATGAACTTCTAGATATCTAGAGTAGTCCATGCCTAGAGTATCAGGTGGGCAGTTTTTCCAATAAGTACAGTAGATGGAAGATAGAGTATTCAGATTTTCTGGCCTTTTTGCATACATTTGGAAATTGGAATAAGATAGTTCTAGCGTTACTACATACATTATAAGCGTTTCCTGCATTAAGTAGATGTTTTCTGCCGCGTAAATAGTGTTAAGTGTAGAACTTGTTCTGATCCTGAAATTGCGACTACACTATTCTAGAGTATTAGATGGATAACTATTGCGATAAGTAGCCGGAATAAAGTCAGAGCACTACCGACAATGTAGGACAAGAAACGTTAGCACCCGCAATTGTAAGACGAAGCACTGGATCGGACCCGTAGCATAATAGTCTAGAGTCTGCAAATGGTGCTAGGTTATCTCTTCCAATGCTGATTACTATCCTTAAGAAGAAATTTTTTCAAAAACTAAGCGTATATAGCAGTTCTTTCAAATCCTAAAGACTTAAAATGGAAAAAGCTGTCTAAGACCCTGAAATAACCCAAAATTTATAAAATTAAAAATATTTGTTCTCTTAAATCCATCAAGGGCCATTTAATTTCCTTATAGTATCTAAAGACATACTACAGAAGCCATTAAATGTTCTGTTTCGTGAATCTCAAGCTAAGCCATCATACTGCAGCGTATATTGTACACTAGTATACAGGGTCTTTCATTTCGTTTTACATGCTTTAATTTGGGGAAAAATAACTAACGCAAACGTGCAAATACAGTTGTTTATACCGACATTGAAGACACATTTTCTAATCTTTAAGTTCACTGTATACATCCAAATGGTTGCATCGGTAACAATAAATTTCATTTATACTTTTTGCACTGTACAGTGTACAGGGTTTTTATTTTCGTTTTAGATGCTTTAACTGAGTAAAAAAATGCAACTAAAACTAACGTGCAAATACAGTTATTTAAACCGATATCTAAGACACATTTATTAATCTTTAAATTAACTGTATGTATCTAAATGGTAGATAATAATAAATTTCGCTTATACTTTCATCAAAATATGTATTACGAAAATGCTGTACGAAGTTCTGTACATACAGCTATGGACTACTAGATGAAGACCTGGACTGATCACTCCCTCTGACAGACAGACTTTTCTTACTTATAGGCCCATCAAAATCGAAGAATGGTTACTTAGTATGGATCTTCTGTGCCTGTTTTCGAAATCACTGGTACTAATTTAAAAAATCTACATCGACAATCTTATATCACTGTTTGTTATAGACGTATATGTATGAATTTGTAATCTTTGTGTACTTCCTGGTTTGAGTTATCATGATAACTAATAATGTATTAAGTACAGTATAATTGTTGCAATAAATGCGCAATCTATTTGGGTTGGTTACTATTAAGAACTCGCTGTAACAACATTGTACACTATATACTGTATGCCCGCGCAGTACAATATTAAGGTTTCCCCGGTATGATATAAACAATCGTGTGTAAGAATAAAGAGCATCTTTTCCTAGCCTATATATTTGTGAGTATAATCTCTGTGTACGCGGTCGATCTCCTCCCTAGACAAAAATATACAACACTGTTTCCATGTAGAATTTAGTAACGGTTAATAAGATTCAACGTAATATTGCTTAATTTGGAAAAAATCAGTGAATTTAAAACGACCATCTGCATACTAAATAAAGTAGTGTGATAACGAAGTGCTTTCAACAATATTTTCACGAAATGGAGCCGAAAAGGTCTGTCCGTCCAAGCTTGATGAGTCCAGTCCGCCCAAGCCTTCTTCTAATAGTACAGTACAGTACTCTACAGTATATAGTACTGTACTGTACAGTATATAATACTGTACTGTACAGTACAGTACTGGATGAGTCCGCCCAAGCCTTCTTCTACAGTAAATAGTACAGTAACGTACAGTATATAGTACTGTACAGGACAGTACAGTACTGTAATATTGCACTCATCGGCCACTTCTCGTCCCTAACTATGCCCATACAGCTCTCTAAAATGCTTATTTTGTATGCCTTAGAAAATTCGACTTGGCGTCCACACTGGGCGGATTGAAAAAACACAAGATTGACGTCAGGCGTTACCATTGTTACCGCTACTGCAAACCTGAATTCTGTAATGCTCATAACCAATAACCACCATAGTTTTTTGACTTCCATGGTAATAACACTGAATATAGACTTTTAGTAGTAACATATCAATCTTGAATTATCTATCAGGTGGTATGTGACATTAAAGAGGAGTTACACCGATTAGAATTCGAACTGTTTGGTGATTTACTAGAACAAACATTGTTAATAAACTAGATTTACAGTAATATCGAATCCCTGACGTATTACCACATTGTCCTATAACATTAAGGTTAGTAAACTATGGTTGAAGCTAATATTCAAACGATTGTAATCCTTACCGTGTCCAATAAGACTAATAGACATAAACTCTACAAGGAATAGAAAGATTTACAGTAATTTACTATTTTGTGCTCTTTTTCTTTAAAGGATATCATTTAGACGCTCTATTGACATTGTATACTGGCGCAGTGGTCGGTATTATCGGTTAAGAAGTTAAACAACATCGAAGAAACGTAATAATGCTCCACTACTTTTGGGTCCACTGTTGTTTTCACTTATCGAGATGGTTTCCAAAGGAGATAAGATGGAAAGTGTAAGTTTTTCAGTATTAAATTTACTATCATATTACATTTAATTAATTACTCTTGATCTGATGTTTGAATAAATATCAAACCTATTACAAAAGCTTAACGAGTAGTTTTCTAGTTTTACTGGAGTTAATGGTACTTATAATAATTGCAATGGCTAAATGCAAGTAAAATATAGTTTATGTGTTAATCCATGAAATAAAGTCATATTAAATAAATAAAAATCATCGTTAGTCAGTATTGTGGCTACTCTAAATGATAAAGGCTGTCATTATCTTTAAAGGTTGTAAAATTTTTATACTATACTGCCATGATATGCCTGTGCTAATCAAACATTAAATGAAAGGGCAGTATATTCGCATTGATTAACTTCTGCTTTACATATAGCTTCATATTAGTGAATTATAATTAACTTACCACTGCTGGAAACACTTAAAGCTATGACGCTAAAATAAATAGATAAACATCTCTTTCACTGTACAGCTATAATACTGTTAATCTATTAAGTAGGTTTCATAAGTAGGCACTGGATCTAACATCAACTAAAAGATGCTATCTTTTATTATCGATATTCATTAAAATTATTTTAAATCTTTAATTTCTAAGAAATGAAGTAGGAATACGTTTCTATATCGCCTACAAATAGTTTACTTGACTTCAATTGGTAATGTCAAGCTACTCTTTCACATCACATTGAGCTAGTATAGTTGCAGTAGACCTGACTAAGTAACTAGTAAATAGGGTATAATGATACTTAAAGATCTAACGATGTCTTTGTTTTAACTTTGATGCTTTACGTGTTGAATATTTGCAGGCGCTTGATCATCATCCCTTTGACAGTGTGCTTACTAGCACCGGAATTTTACGTCTTATTACTGTAAGTTCATCCATTAAAATTGAATGTATGCAACCTTATCTTGATTTCGACCTAGGACTATGACATACGCCTGTAATATTTACATTATGATCAAGTTAATTATTATCGTTGTTTATGAGAAAAATTATCTGTTCTCAACCCAGGGTTTCTATTTTATTAAATCTGTGATATAGGAACGAAACATCAAGGTTCTGCCCCGCAAATTTATTAAATTATCTCATTGCTGATGTGACTTTTACAACTCTTATGCTCGGTTAGTTGTAAATCATTTTTTAAGTGAATTACATGTTAGAATAGAAGTCAGCTTCATATGTCGAACAAAATTAAAATTATTTCCTCATAAATTTTATCAATTATGCAGGTTTCTGTTTCATATTGTGCCAAATGGACCCACTTGTATACCAAATTAAAATTGCCTTCCACATTTTTGGTGTATTAGATGCAGCGATGGGTATAGCAATAACCATTGCATTGGCTAGTACTAATGCCAGTACTTGCGTAAGTTAAAAATTTTAAAGTGCTATGCTGATTTATGCATGATGATAAACACTGAATATTTTTCTTCTTCAACATTAATGAAAATTATCGGTTCTACAGTAAATGAGCGCTTTTATAATAGTATATTAAAGATATCGCTATAATATCAGTTAGTATTGCCGATTACTTTCCTTCTATTCCTAGAGCGGAAATCTGATTCAGTTGAAAAGTTGATTTCATGTAAATGTAAGGTATTTCTTGCGATACTTGCAAGATTTTGGCACGTCTATATACAATATATTTTACCAATCTCGTGTTATCGCTAGTTATACATCATATATAAAGAGAGAGAGGTCGTTACTAATACTAACGTGCCAATTTTAATAGTAAGTTAAAACAATATTCTGTATAGCGCAAAAACACATCAAAAGTGGAACAATTTACCAGATGTTTATTATTTTAGCTATATCATCGATACAGCTCTAGTGCTAATAACATCTTTTTACCTTGTTATTTAGAGAGATAATACTACGACATTATACTACGCTTGTTTAATATTGGCTATATTACATATTGCATCCTTAGGTAAGATCTGTTTGTTTAATTTACTCTGCATCTTTCTGATAAAAATGACTATTTTTATTTTTAACTTTCGATACAATAACAATCAGTTGTATAGCAATTAATCTATTTTATTGAACATTTACATAGGGCTGGTTGTATTCCTAACACCATTTTGGGTTGCGAACTCCGTTTGGGCATTATCCGTCCTTAATCCTAGGCAAAGACGTGGCGTATGCTATGAGCCAGTTAAATGTTGTACTTGTCTCTGGCATGTGTAAGAAAATTCACTTGCATAATTAATAGATTAAAATATCCTTATAATAGGACTCATTGAAATTAGTTTTTTTAATGGTTTCATTGCATAATTTGATATTAACTAAATGATTCAGTGTGCTATACACTTCTATCGACTATTTCAATCCTTTAATCTGCTTGATTGAATATTTACGTACATAATTTTTTATGGTTAGCTTGAGTTTATTTTTGCTATAATTTATAATAAGATATTTACAATGTATCATATTTTACCTAATTCTGTATTATGGCCGGAATTTCTTTTCGGACTTTCTATAAATGACTATCATTCGTCTATCACTATATGTAATGGACGTTTGGAAGAAGTGGCTATTCTTAAAGTGAAGATATGTGGTTAATTGCATTTATAAAGCTATGTTGTACAACCTTACCATGTATATATTCGTATGAAGCTTAAATAATGTCATCACATATATTGTACTTTAGCTAATTGACTAGCTTTTTAGCATAATTTTTATGGCCATATCATTATCTTATTTTGTACTAAACTATTAATAAAAGATAGCCTTACAATATTGATCTTTTAACCTTCCACTGTGAACGATTAATTCTATCAGTGCAATAAGTAGATTTGATATTGTTACTGTGTACCATAATTTGATTACTATGCATTACTTTAATGTTGTAGTTTGATGTAAAGGAGCAACTAAGACCTTAATTTAGCCGTAGCAATGTGATTTTAAATTTCAATATGCATAATTATTTTAAGCTGTATTTAATATAACTGCCATGGTTACGCTTTGTGCTGTTAGGCTTTAGACGCCAGTAAAATCCTATTTAAGTTTGCAATATTTAAAAAGAGTAATGCACGGTACTCATCGATAATCGTAATTCATATATCGTTGTCATGACTGAAGAATTTAGGTGTAGTCCCGATTGTTATACACGCAAATAATTGTATAATCGAACCTGAAATTGACGTCAGAAATTGGCTTTTTTGGTTATTAGCGCTACGTTTGAGTATTGTCAGTGCCGATTACATGTCGTTGACAGAGATAATGAACGAATTAATTATTTTAGGAATAGACATTGGTCAGTTTTGAATTTACTTTATGTGACCATTATATTATCATAGTAAAGGATCACTTTTACAGAGTTCCATGAAAGTTTAATATCTACACTCGTGCTCTAAGTGTTTGCAATTGAAAGATGGATTGAATCTACAACTTCTACAGTGAGCTGCTTAATAACGTGCTTACATTTCAAGTGATCGACATATTTTCTGTATTACAATAATTATTTATAATGTTAAAATTTACCGTTATCGAAATAGCGATAAAAGCCACTTTTGTAATCCTTTTAGTCGAATTAAGAATAATGATGTAAGGGTAGTAGTAAAGTACCTACTAAAACTTTAGTCTCGACGTGTTGCTGCCGCATATAAATATAGTAACAGTATTCCCAAAGTACTTGAATAGGAAATTGCTTCTATATAATATTCATAACGAATTTATACTCAATGCTATACCTGTATTACTTTCGTTTAATATATTCACTAGTTACGCTTAAAGATTTTGCAATCAAAAATATTCTAATATGCAGTATATGGAGATAAGTAGATTATAATGCATTAGCAACTCATATAATTATAAAGTTGCATGTACAAATTATTATGATTTATTGACTAAATGGTAGTCGAAAAGCAAAAATATGAAATAGTAAATATACATATAGATAGCTGTAAATCGACATCAAAAATCTTCACATTAATAGCTTTTAGCATAATGAAGAATGGTCTTGTCCTAATGGAATAGGAATCATTTCAGGAAGCCAGTAATGTATACAGTCAATACAATTTTATGATTAACTAATTTTTAAATCCATTAGCTAGCAAATCATTAAAAAGTTAATGAATGCAATATTCGAATATTAAAACCACAGCATTTAAAAGTAAAAATATCATTTACATGCTAATTCTTTGATTTTACTGTTAATATTAGCAAAGAGCTTGTGCCATAATTTTAGTGGATTATGTTACCCTTTCCGTCCAATAGTTGTGCAAGTAACTATTCTACCTAGATTGTATCGCAATTTGATACTAAATATGTTGCTATCTTATGCACTCGCCAAATTACATAAAGTGCTGTGGATAGATGGCTAACTTTTAGGCTATTTCAATTGGTATGATTATATCAAAAAATTAAAAATAGTATAGTATATTATTATATACATTGTCCTTAATTATTAGATCAGTTAATGGTACAACTTAACATACTGTTTAAAAGCTACGGTATGGGTTCCATTTCTATTGATAGCATGTTGAAGAAGTTATAATTATAGCATTATGATTATGAGCTAAAAGTGATTTAAGGCAGGTGACTGAACTAATCATTCCATTTTGATTTAGCAAATTCTAGTAATATTGAAAGAATTTTTGCTATATAAAAATAAAACATTAGGTTATGGTTTTTCGGATACGTTTGCTTTCAGTACGATACAAGTCTAATCTGATCTGTAACATGAAATAAAGTTTCAGATGTAAGATTGGTTAAAGTTGCTATACTATTACCCATGTTTCTTTTATGAGCTACACTTTTGTTATGGCGCTAATTACGGATTTAGCTAGATCTTTGATGTGATAACTTAATGCACAGTGAAGAAATAATGTGCAATTTGGACTAACTCTAGCTAGTTAATATTAGGCTCTTGGCTCCGCATATTGACAACACCCAGTACGAAGGTTAAAATAAAACTGGCCAGTTTTTTGGCTCCACATTTTTCGCCAGTGATATGTCTGTTTATTTCAATATTAAGAGAACTGTTACGTTATTTTAAATCAGATCATTTCATAGATTCATTAATGACATTTTACCTCATTTTCATTGTTGGTTACGTAGGCTGTTTGCATTGCTGCTTTAATTTTACTCAAGAAGTTTTTGACCAAGACGCTATTACCAGTTTTATCCTTAGGTAGTTCCTCATAAATGGATATGATAGTGGCTTCGTTCAAATTTAATTCCAGCTTATCCCAATTTAAGATCTAAAATTAGATTAAGATATCAGCCAATAGGAAATTAAAAACAATAAGGTCAAGTTAGTTTTATAGAGATGGTATAATGATTAATCTGGGGTAGCATTGATCAACGTTATAACTTGCAATAATTTACATGCATTACACATAATAGGATTGTTTGTAATAGGTGGAAACATCGTTATTGATATTTACGCAATAGTCACCTTTGTGAGATCTTTTAGATTTATTTCGTCTGAACGATCTTGTATATTATAGAGCCATGCTTCTGTAAGTGCTTCTTTAATTAAGATATTTTCATAAAAGGCCTTATCAATTGAAGCTATGATAATAAAGATGATAACTTTTATATATAGCAGTGTACAATGTGGCTAAAGTACTGTCTAATGTTAAATTATACTATTTATAAGATATTTCTATAAATTACAGTTTGTAGATTGATCATCATCTGCGTTCTCTGATTTTGTATCTGTTATCCAGCAGCCTCCTTGACCAAGATACAGGGCACCCGTATGTGCTCTTACTCGAATTTGATTATAAACCATTTGTAATGCTTTATTTTCTGCAATTTTTTCTACATTTAGCAAGTTAAAGAAGATTTTAGAATTATATAGTACAGTCATTTTTTTAATGTAATAGCAGGAGTTCTTCAGCTTGTAATATTAAACAAATGACGTTTTAAGTTAACGTATGCATTTTTTGTGATTGATAGAACATTATCAGCATTTTAAATTGATATGGTATTAAACCTTTCCTTTTGGCTAATATATGATCTGTGTCTTTTGGAATCAAATTATTTTATGGGTCAACACTGTATATGCGCCCCTTGTGATAATTGATTGAACATTATTCACATTTTAAATCGATATTCTATTAAAAAGCCCCACTTCTCATTAATGTATGATTGTGTATCTTTCGACATCACAATAATCGTCAATATTGAAACGTGAATGCTTTATCTGCTGTTACATCATACACAACTTACGTAGATCGTCATCAACCATTCTTGGAATAATCGTCAAGTTATAAACATTTGATTTCGAAGTTGATTTAACTTCAAAACGGCATTCGTTATCACCAAGTGCAGTCGTTAGAGTTGCATGGATAACCTTTGATGTTATTATATTTATATCAAGTCCGTCGATAAATATCTTGGTACGAATTGCTGTAAAAGAGAAGAGAAAAGATAACGACGATTTAGTACCGTACTAAATATATCGCATAGATTAAAATGTTTCTTGGGCTATTATTCTAGTATGCCAGTAAAATAAAATTATGACGATTCGCTGATGATATGTAACTAAAAAACAAAGAATACTGGGATAAAAGTATAGTGCATTGTGAAATACTTGTATTACATGTATGGTACATTATATTAATATATTATGTACACGCAATGTTGCGTGTGATTTCCATCTAAAATGTCGACGGTTGAGTTCTCTAAAATTAAAGGTTAGTTTATGACTGAGATTACGCAGCATTTTAAAGAATAATAGAGATTAATAATATTACGTTGTAAATCTTGTAATGTGCCAATAATATTTGATCTACTTGCTCCACAGCCCATTATCACTTGAAATTATTGAGTGTTTAAATCAATCTTCTAGCTCTTATGATAAATATTCAAAACTAAGTGGTGGAACGATATTTAATCTACGCAGAGGTAGGATAGATACTAATTGATTGGCAGAATATCTTGCTAACGTATTACAGATTTCTAGTCTATACGTATTCACTATGACTATGCGAATAGACAATTTAATGTTCGAAATATTGTTGTATTTGCAATGAAAACTATTGTATATACACTCGTATATAGTATGTACGCGTATACTATATCTATATTTACTATGCCTAGATTGATGAATTCCATCAGGCGTATACTGTCTCTCTCTTGATTGTATAGAGAGATGTACTACTTGTAACGATGAAGAGCTCTTTCTCCATGGTGTTGTTATGGAAACCAACAACGTCATTATTTAATAAACTAATTACCAGCTAGAAACCCACAGTTACCTGCAATTGCAGTAGATGTTTCCGAATGCTGTAGTATTGTAGTAGGTTACTACGCGTATATGCTTGATTTGAACGCGTGTTGTGCGGTATACTGTTCTGTAAATGTTTTCATTGCTGTCATAGTAAGTAATTACAGAAAATTTCCATTAGCAAAAGGTTGTTATGAAACGATGAACAATGACGTCATATTGATAGCTTTTCGCAAGCCAAATAGTTTACTTTATTCCTAGCGGGTAAATTTGGAATTCAAGATTGAATAAAAAGTGGCATTCATTGAAATACTAGGTGCCTGCTAACAATAATAGACGCGTAGCATGAAATAGGAAATAGGTTGATTCATGTGGACCGTGTATTAATGAATCTGAGATACAAGTATAAGTGATTAATCCATGATCGGTATCACAGTCCAACGACGAGTTAAGGTACTATGATATTCAACCTCACTAATACAAGTGAGTAGGTAAAGACGTCCGTGTGGGACAACGATGAATGAATAAATGAATCTGAGATAGAATCGACGATCTGCACAACAGTCTAACAACGTGTTAACCATGCAATAATCGAAATCGCTTTTTGAACTATTTGCACCACCTCACTAATACCACTCAATGTGTAATAAGACGTCAGTGTAGGACAACAGTGGATGTACGTTAGAATTTAATCGACCATGATAGTCGTTACTTTTGCACTATAGTACACAGTATTTTACAATTCAGTATGTCAAGACGTTAGTATGCATAGGACAACGATGTATGTGAGGCACAATTGACGATCTGCATAACAGTCTCACAACGCCTTAACTATGCTATCATCGCCATCACTTTCTTACTATCGTATTTTACCATCTTACTACTATAATTCAGTATGTCAATCTGACAGTTCAGACCAGCTTTAAAATGCATACTTGGGATATTGGCCGTGACATATAATATGTTACGTATAGACAGAGTATAGAGGCCTATATGGTTTGTGGTCTGATCCAATACACGTACTGTACAGTGGTGTGCAAAAGATTAGATCCCTCCATTTTTCTCGATACTAACAGCTGTTGAAATTGGAAATTTTGATATTAGGAAATGCCATTTTACGATGCTTCAATAATGTTCAAATTTTCAATTTTAACAGCTTTTAGTATTGAGAAAAATGATGTGAGGGCTTTAATCTTTTGCACACTACAGTACCATGGACTACGAAAAGAAGACTTTTAGTAGAGAACAGTAATATCCAGTTACCGTAGTCCATGACTGTACGCTGCACTGTACGTATGGTGCAGCTAAAATGACCAGCAGTCCGCCTGCAGATTTGTTGGCAATAAACTGTCGTTGCTAGTCCCTCTCTACTTTCTTTTACTGTATTATACAGTAAATTGTAGAGCAGAGTGCCCATTCATAGTGTGTATATGAACATGTACAGCTAAAATGACCAGCAGCCAGCCTGCAGATTTGTTGGCAACAAACTGTCGTTGCTAGTCCCTCTCTTTTACTGTACAGTAAAGTGTAGAGCAGAGTGCCCATTCGTAGTGTGTATTTTAACATCATAAATGCTAGTCCCTCTCTACTTTTCTTTTACAGTAAAGTGTAGAGCAGAGTGCCCATTCGTAGTGTGTATTTTAACATCATAAATGCTAGTCCCTCTCTACTTTTCTTTTACTGTAAAGTGTAGAGCAGAGTGCCTTTCGTAGTGTGTCTATGAACATGTATATTATATCAACATACGACACTAGCGTATCCATTCCAGTTATAACCGGTTCAACCCTATACCATATTCCTCAATGAGGAATCCTCATTGAATGTCCTCGGGAAGGACGTAGGTATAGTACACTAAACGCCGCAGTCATAACACCGTCGTACAGTAGTATTGATTGAGTTATCGTATCCTAGTTCAATCTACTCATAAAATAACTTGATTGGATGGACTTGTACGAGTATTTTTCGGGATTGCCGTCAAAATTGAAGGATGTTGAATGGCTTAATTTCTGATTTGGGAGTGAGTGAGAAGGATGTTGTAAAACACTGGATACTATACTAGTAGTGGACGCCATTCGGAGCATAGTCAACATACAGGACTAAACGTAAAAGCCAAGCAACTTGAGATCGTCCAGTACAGTGTACAGTACCCTGTACGGTAAATACTGTACTGTAGGACTACTGTGCACTGTGCGCAGTCGTCAAAGCAGGTCAGGCACAGTAAAGCGTCAGCGCCAGCAGTCGCTCTAGTGACTGAAACATGAGTGTCGAGTACAGCATAGACACTAAAGGTTTCAATTTCATCGCTCGGCACCTAGCAGGATTGCGGTACCGTAACGGTACGCATGCGTGCTTACTGGCCAGAGAAACGATCGTCGAGTCGAGCTAACTCCAAGTGTTCAATATCTTCATTTTCAAGCCAATTTCACCAAGGAAAGTAGTGCAAAATTTCAATATTCCTTCATGGCAAAATTGGATAGGATGGATTTAAATCGTCGTTTGTTGATGGTTTAAGGCAGTAGATTGATCCACCTGGCACAATGTCAGCACAAACACCGCCCTATAGCCATTCCCCAAGTCAACGACGCGATACAAGTCAGGGTAAGTATGGATAATAGACAATGAAATAGGTCCAAGCAGTTCTCTTTTTCCAAAGGGAAATGATGTCAAGTCATTATGTCTGGATAGTTATTGATGATAGTAAGGGTTCTACATCAATGATAGACTTACTAGTCGATCTGTCCATAATGAAAACAGTCATGGTTATCGTCATGTTGATGATTGCAAGGTAGACGATCCTTTTTTAACCGAATCTCAATGTAGCCAAGTCAGGCCAAACACAAGCGCCTCCTTTAGCCCTCTACCATACGGAGATGGTAATGGCAATGATGATCACTGGACGACAGGTTGAGTCGGATTCAAACGATGTTAATGTAATATCCTTTGGATACGAGTTGAATCACGAAATAGAGATGGTTTTAAAAATGGGATTGTATTAGCGATGGGTCCCAGAATATCTTGATCCTTTGATGACTTGTTAGTCTATTCCAATTATAAACAATATCGTTATTGAAGCATAAAAAAGTAGACAAAATACCAGTACAAGTGCAGTAAATGATCAGACGTAGAATATGGCTCAATTAGTACAAAGTAGTACACTCCAATGGATTTTATCATGACACAGTTCTACTAGTTTGAATCATCAGTTCGTTTCTTGACTGTAATGGCATCAAATTACCATCATCATGATATACGTACATGGCAGATACTCGTATATCTTTCTATGGTCATAGAGTCATGATCTGATGTAGAATACGGGTAGATTAGTACAAAGTAGTACACTCCAATGGATTCTATCATGACACAGTCCTACAAGTTTGAATCATCAGTTAGTCTCTTGACTGTAATGGCATCAAATTACCATCATCATGATATATGTGCATGGCAGATACTCGTATATCTTTCCATAGGTTGAACGCATTCAATCTTAGCTTACTTTACATGGAAGTTGATAGATCATGGTATCACTATAGGCTATAGCAGCATAGTTGGAATGATCGTCAAGGCAAAGCTTATAGAGATTGTTGTCATCATTGTAGTAACTAAAGATGAACCATTTGCTAGTACTACGCTATCGTCAGACACAGATTGGATATATCATCCTACGCACTTATTGACTACACGCTGTAAATAAATACGCTTCTGACTATTATTAATCGTACGTAGTATTGGATTCAATGCCTATTTACAGAAATACATAGTATTTTGCCCTTTGCAGCGAAAAGGTAACGGCCTCAATCTATATTATGTTGTACTACTCGGTAGCATTCGCTGCCAATCTCGTCAATGATGATCATCAGGATACATTGATCTATCGGATCTCATTGACGGTATGGACAATGATAATATATTGATGTACAAGAGTTCAACATCCGTTAGCCTGTCTAAAATAAAATATACTGTATACTGCACGCATTACGTGATTTTACAACTAATTTTCAACGACAATAGATCATCGAGTTATAGCCACGTTGACTTGAAGGTATTGCAATTACTCTATACCCTCTACACAATAGAATAAAATTACCAACTAGTTTAGCACAAGCCGTAATCTTGACTTCTATTTCACTTAATTACACGATAGCAATCAAGCTGCTAGTAGCCTAGTGCACATAATAGAACACGCGTACATGTTTGATGGATGCCATCAGCCATTCATAATCTACTGGACTGCCGTACAGTAATATTGCCTGATAGGTTAAATGAGGAAAATGGCTATTGATGGATACATTGAGAATCGTTGTTAGTTATTGATGTTGGATCTATATCAGCTTTATACTATACAGTCTATGAATATTCTGGCCATGATAATTTTATGACTATATCATCCATGATGAATTCCCTAGCAATTCTTCATTCATAAATGATCCGATAGTAAATCATCTCTCTGTTGTTACCTACTATTTTGGTTACCTTGCATCATCTCTAGTACATGATACAAATTTTATCCTTGATTACAAGGCGTTGCACAGCAGATTGATTCAATACGTTGCTACCATCGGTCTGGCCGATGCAATAACCGCTCTACATCCAACAATGGCACCATATGCTTAACACAGAAGTCTAGGAATGGATATTGGGACAGTGCTCAGCTTCCATGAAGCCAATGAATATGTTATGTAATTAATTATTAACAATAATCATAGGTGTACAGGATTTCAAGTTTTATAGAGTAATGGCTAAGATGTCTGATATCTTCCTATTACTATTGGGGCGTAATTGAATGATGATAAACCGACTGCCTTAGCAATTGCAATACTGTACTACTTGTTTTCTATAGTATCCATAATGGCAGGCTTATCGTCAAATTTACATTTTAAGAATAGTTAAAGTAGAAAATGAATCGCTTAATATGTCAACTATTATCCCATTGAACATATTGTTATGTCCTATAGAAATTTTTAGGACGTCAGTTATAATTTTATTGGCAATTAATTGTATGAACTCATTCAGATTCGAGATATTCTTATCAAAGGGTAAGGGAATTCGTGCGTAGAAAAGTGGAAAATTACTCTCTCAGTCTTCTATTAATACAATCGTTATTCATCACATCATTTTCAAAAGAGATTGAGTGGACACTATCAGATTTTTAAATAATTAAAATAGAACAATGTCAATTTCTCGATAATTAAAATCGGAAAGGTGGTATGACAACTTGTTGGTAATGTATCTGTAATATGAATATTTTGTGGGCACTTTATCGTTATAAATGAGGTGGTTAGCTATGTACTGATAGAAATGTGTTACACTGGTAATAGATAAATGTTTCATTTGATTTATTATTACTACTGGAGAAGCTACCAACACTTTAATTCAAATACCTAAAAAAATAAATATGAGAATACCACACCATGGCCTTCTACATTTTAAAATCGAAAAGTCCATAACCGCACGTATATGTAGTCATTGATTTGCCTATAGTAATATTCAGGACTGCCAGAATAGCATCAGAGATATTGATGATGAAATATAAAAATTAAATTTTATACTTATTTTTCGACGTAATGTTATTATCAATCGACTTTTATCATTAATTTAAGTTATAAAAACTACTGCTTCAAACGACAGATTATAATGATTTAACTTCCACTTTATTTTATCTCAATTTAGAGCATTTTAAAGTCCTTAATAGGCTAAGAGAACTACAATATTATACCGCTTACATATATTGCAGGTGTTTTAAATAGAGAAATGTACGGTCAAAATTAGTCGTTGATGATAATTGCGTAAGAATGGTGACAATATAAGGGCTGCATATAATTATAATCTAACTGTAAGTTCTTCGTGAAACTAATTATGCAGATGTGATACCCTATGTTTCTGCATAGGGTAAATATTAAGTATTACTGCTGTTGTGCTTGAAGAGTATATTTCTTATTTTGAATTACTTTCTTTGAGCTCAAGTAAATTAATAGTTATTCGCTAGCGTAACAGAATTAACTGCATTCATCGTCAAGAATTTTCTAAATGTTCACTTTGAGGACTAGTATTGAATATACCGGTACTAAATGGGGATCACTGATAGTTTATAATTAAGACCTTTTAAAGCGATATAAATTTCAGCATAGCGTTTACGAACGAGCTGCACTATAATATTCTATCTAAACTTAGTGAGTTTGGTTAATGTAAATGTATAAACTTGGCCGAAGCTTTACGACTGAATTAACTTAGGTATCCCATTTGCTGTAAGAAGAGTTTTAACTTTATACAAAGATATTTAAACAATTCTTTTATTGATACATTGCATCGCATGATTTGATTTTTCACTATTATAAGATGAATTTAAATGAGATTTCGTTTTCGTGCTGCTAACCAATTTTTAATATTTAATAATGAATTATTATCTATCCATATTTAGGATCAAAGAATGAAAATGAGAAAAATAAAATTGCGGCTCGTGCTGCACAAAATTTACCGGCAGTATTGAATGATCCTAGGGGACGCCGAGAAACGGACTTTTTTACTAAAACGTGGGGTGAAGAATTTGTTCCACCATCTATAATTCCGCCGTCTCATTATGTCGAATGGATTGATTTGTCAGACTTTAATGAATATAGGTCGAAAATAGCACATGTAAGAAAGATATAAATCGAATTTTATATTATTGGTTCTATTTCGTTTAGTTAATTACAATTAGTTTACAGTACAGTAGTATATCCAATATCTTTGTAAATGCATATATTCTCAAAAGTAAATTGAAACGTTCAATTTTCATTCTAATGCTGATATGTTCGTACTCATGCAGCCTTATAAAATACATAAAAAGAATAAAAAGTCCATAAAAGGAGGAATAGGATCAAAGAAAGAAGATAGTACTGGTGATGGAAAGGTCCAGTTAGATAGTAAACAACGAGGTAAGCTAAAATAAAACGGCTACCATTATGTAAACAATGGGATTATTATTTTAATGTAAAATATATATATCTATGATTGAGTTTGAGTCTTCTAATATAAAAGCTTTAAATTGACTATTTCTATCCAATAGTTAACAACGTTTCCAAAGATTTAGATCTTATACCAAAGGTATGTGTAAACCTTCAATTTTGCAATTTTTTTGTAAACCCTTTTACATGAACTCTTGTGTAATGATACCGGTAACACCATACGATCATTCAATTTTCATATAATTGTATGCATTGTAGGTATTTCTTGAACCTAAATTTGCTTTGGAAGATCCAGACACATTTAATGCTGTACTACCTTGGTCCCAATTTGAGAATGCTGCAGTGCCAGACAAAGACATAAGTCCGAGACCACGCGCTTCCGCTAAGCTCTTGCAAGAAAAGGTAGCGCTACTAAATCTATGCAGTCAAATTTGAGCATGTGAAGTTGTTTGGTATTGGGAACGGTTAATTGGATATTAATAGTATATCATTTTATAGCTTACACATTACTTAGATATTGCCGAGGTAGAATTAGCAAGACAAATATCTTTAAAATCTGAGGATTTTTTCAACGCTATGTCATCACAAGACGATGTGGTCGATCGAGTCGCCTATACATGTGCTGAAATTCGAATTCTTAGGTATAGTCCGGATTTTTATTATAGTGACTATTATATTTGTTCGAAATATAGCATTGGCATTCATAAATGACGTGTAACGTTGCTACTATAGGGAAAAATTAATGATAATAAATGAAATTTTATGCAAAAGCTGCTTGGAAGTATTAAAATTGAAATGTTGTCGAGCAAGATCGGCAACTGTGTTCCATAAGGTTATTATGGTCATATAGTAATTTAATTTATTTATTGGATGGTTAACTAAAAATCATTGATCCGATTGTTACTTAGTATATGTTCTCTTTGTCTTGGTCTAAAATTAATTTTTTTATTTACAATAGTTAAAATTGATGGGTGCCGTTCATCAAACGCAACCAATGATTCAAGTAATGCTTTCCTCTTCGGATTATGTTGGTGCTTTAGACTTAATAGCGACAACTCAAGACGTTTTACAACAAGAGCTTTCAGGAATACAGAGTTTCAGGTACCTTGAGAATTTTAAAATTTAAGGAAAGTTTCAATTAATGGTGATTATCGTTTACTACCGTAAATTTTTAGACATTTGGGTTCTCAGCTAACTGAAATGGAAAAAGTAATCGTCAAAATGATGGAAGCTAACTTTGTAGAGTTGATTGCAAAAGAATTAAATAAACCAATTGAAAAGAATTCTGAGCCAACAATAGTTGATGATGAGGTAAACAGCTATCAATTATTTTCGTACCTTATTAGAATATTATTTTAAGAATTATTTATATTTCTAATTTTTAAGGATCGATTATTGTCGGTATTATTTGGACTATTGCGACAGAAAAAGCTTAATTTCTTAAATACATTTAGAGAAGAATCGTTTAATGCTATTAAAGCTACCGTTAAGCAGGTTACTTTGCATTGTCAGCTATGTTATATATTCAAATATTTATTATATAAGCTACTATTTGTTCTTAAAATTAGTCGGTGGCCGAATTTGTATCTGATATTGATATGTCCGTTATGGAAGAAAATAATAGAAATCTTGACTACTATCCTAGGTAATAGCGATCTAAAATTGAAGTTATAATTATAATGTAATGTAAATTATCATATATGTCAACGGATCTTGCATTCTTATAATTGTTTTTCTACTGTATAGTAATTTAACAGAACATGTCCGGCAACTTAACTTTCCGCAATGGATAGACATGCTGCAACATATCTTTAGCAATATATTGATTATTTTACATAGAATTAAGGTATGTTCTTGACTGCTGCAGGTATAGAATTACTGGTTGAAATATTATTAATTACTGTATTAATTTTTTATTAATATATTATAGAGTCTACATGATTTAGTTATGGAGATTGCTGGTACCGCCAATAAATCAAAATCTAAGGATTGTGATCATGATACCGGAAATACTGATTCCCATGAGTCTGATCGAGAAAGTATCGAAGGAAAGACATCTAATATCTCCGAAAAGTTTGTTAAACTAACTATCAATTAAAATTTCAAGCTATATGGTAAATTTATTAATACTAGTTGTTTTTCCGTCGTTCTAATCAGTGATACTGAATCGGTCGTAAATGATATCGATCATGAGAAAATTATCAACGATAGTAAGGAATTGTTATGTGCCGCATGCGAATTATCACATGTTCGCTTAGCTAAGCTACTCGGAATAAGGGCAAAAGTAAGCATTATGAAGAAGTTGATGAAAACTTAGGTTAAGTAAAGACTAAGTAGTAGGGTCTTTAATTCTGATCAATTTTTTACCTTACAGGATGACTGCCTAGAAAGATTAACTTCATCGGATTTTATGGTGCTGATTCGTTCTATTCACCAATTCATTGCCGAAACGGAGGGTATCTGCGGTCGTCAAATGCATAGCCTTAGCGGCACCTTGATGGCTCAAGTAAGAAATTTATCGATACTGTTATCTTTCGTGACTTTTATTATGAGACTATTATTTTCTATGCAATGATTAGGCTAGGAAATTTGTAGAAAAATTTCATGATGAACGCAGAACAAAGATAAGGTATTAACAAATGTTTTATAGAATTTACGCTTACGTTTATCTCTTATGTTATGCCTTATGTTATGCCTTACTGTTTCTGATATTACTATCATCGCGAAATGATGTATTTTTATAATTAATAATTTATTTTTTCTGATTTAATGATATAGTTTAATCCTTGATAATGAGCAATGGAAGCAAGCGGATGTTCCGCCTGAATTTCAAGCTCTTGTAGATGAACTCGATAAGGATGGTATTGCAGGAGCAATTCAGAAAATATCTCGACAAAATGGTACTATTAAATTTGACAAGATTGATGTTCTTTGATTAATTATTGTATAAGCCTTTGGTTACACTCTTACCTAATTGGTGTATTTCCATTTTCAGTTTCTACTCCGTCTGATTCTCCATTGAAAGTTCTTGTCATTAAAGGAGAAAAATATGCTGTAATTGGGTAAGAATCACGATGTTGTTGCTGATGCAGTTATATAGAGTATTCAAAAATTATTTTTTTGATCCAATATGGTATTAAAACTAAATAAATCTTGATATTGTAACTGTTAGGACACTCCTTATACTATTAAAAATGGCAATTGAATATTGCGAGTGCATTAATGACGTCCCTATGCTAACCTTGGATATGATTAATAAAGTTGCCGAAATTCTTAAGGTAAATTATAAGTCATCGGTATCAATCGCTATTTCTTTGTAAGCATAGGTTTTAAAATTTTTTCTTGTTTGTATAGTTATTTAATTCTAGAACATGCCAATTGGTACTAGGAGCTGGCGCTTTGCAAGTCGTTGGATTAAGAACAATTACTTCTAAGCATTTAGGTAGATATATTAAAATTTTGTTAAAATCTGTTGATATCTTAGATTCTTTATTTCCTTATTTTTATACAATCTATTATTGCATTCAGCTTTAGCTTACCGGTGCTTACAAGTTATGACGATATATATTCCGCAAATTAAAACCTATTTTCAATCTATGTTGCCTCCAAAGAAGCATATTCTTTTAACAAAGTTCGATCATTTACTCCAGGTAGATACATTTGAGATTAGAAATATCATTTTAAATTTCAATAATCATATAACTGTGAGACTAGCCACAGGTCTTTAAAAAAATTGATTTATTCTATGATCAATTCAATAGGATTATCAGAATCACTGCCAAGAAATTGATTCTAAGTTAATTTCAATAATGGACACAGTATTTTTTACTCAGTTAGGCAAAGTTAGTCTTTGTTTATTTATTCATTTACTATAAAATTGATTGATATTATTCATAGGACATTTATAATGATTTTGATTAACAAGAACTTTTAAATATTTGTATTTAGTGGGAAGTAAAAGCACCGACGCCATCGCAGTGTTTTCGTGGTATGATTAAGCAAGTAGCAAAGTTACATGATGCTTTATCGGATCTTCTACCTAAAGAACACGTTAAGGTATATTCATATTAAGAAAAGTCATAATAATAGAATTTAGAGTTTTGCCAAAGTGCTAACATGGAGTCACTGTTTGTTGTACGATAGGATTTATTTGACGAAATTATGAACTGCTTCATATCTCGTCTAAAAGTTCGTTTAACGAATCATGAAATATCAGATGATGGTGGCTCTCAACACGGGTAAGATATTGACGATTACAAGAATTTTTTGTCAAATTTTATTCTTTATCATATAAGGCGTTGACAGCATATGCGACATTTTTCTCTTAGTTTGGTTACATCGGAGCTGCTATTTTTTGTGAATAGTCTGCAAGGTTTTGATGGTCTCTCTAATATTAATGAAAAAATTAATAATGTTTGGAAAGAAATGCAACCAAAAAATTAGTAATATTTCTTATCAGAATTAACTATCTTATTTATATATAATTGACACTGGTACATTTTACAGAAAATTGTTACATTTTAATGTTAAAATTGACATTAATAGGCAAATTTTAGAGCACTTTGTACTTACAGGACCGCGAAAATTGAAATAATACTGCTGTAAAATTCTCTGTGTTAAAAATTCGAATAGTAGTCCGTTAAACTAACTTGTTTTTATTGCAGCTGATATTGAAGTGACTGAAATAAATAATTTAATATCTAATCATTGGTTTGCACGCGTATATATTGATTACATTATTGTGATGTAGCAGCTACTATCTAGTACGAACTATATGTGATTCGAGCGAAGTTGCTGAATATGATTCCGATATTGGCAGTTATTTACAGGATTATGTATAACACCGAAGTCGTGATCTTTAAATCGAGTTCCAGTATTACAACAGCATCATATGATACCGTTCACATAATCATATACCACTCCCGAGACATTCTTTATTATCTGCTCTGCGATAAGGGATACACGATATTGTGAGTAAATTAGTGCGTGGAAATTTACGTTTGTTCATTTAACGTCAGTAAACGATGCGCTCGTAGTATTTATCGTTTATATCGTTTGTATCTGATTAAGCCTATCTCTGACTGACTATTATTGATGGTGAATTGATTGTATACGCCTGGGACAAGGCATACCTTAGGGTATCCCTAGACGATGCATTTTCCCCTGATGTGTACGCACGTAACTCACGAACATACATATGTATTTGTGATGGTTTTACTGTGTGAATTTTAGAATAAATAATTTAGTAACATTGTAAAGGAGCAGTAAAGGTGTTGGATAAACAATAAAATTAGTGCATAAACGAAAATTATAGGCGAGATATCAAAGAAAGTAATATTCTAAGATTTTATCATTTATACCGATCAATGTTGGCATTCTCGACGATCGCGATCGTCCAGATAGGCAATTTTAAACATGATAAATGTCGTGATTCCTTTGTGTTTAAGTAAAACTTATATTTTTTTAGCTTAACCCAAAATCCGTTGTTCACTTTAAGGGAAATTGGGTCTTTTTCCAACTCTAGTACAGATAATATCTAAGTGTAGTCGGAATTATCAAAGGTAATGCAGTAAACTTTGATACAAGACCTACAACATGGATAATTAGCTAATCAAAACAAAAAAGCATAAAGATCAATTACTTTTACCATATTTAGTGTATTCTATTGCTATTGCGACGGTATTACGTACAGTATATCTTATAAGCAACCGAGAGCAGATGATAACTTTGGTCACCCCGGGCGATTGTAGAAAGATTTAGATAGCATCTAAATTTTATCAAATACCGGAGTTATTTCCCTAGAATGTGCAATATTTCATATTTTGTGATAATTTGATTCCATAATATATGCGACAATATTAATGGTGCTATTATTATTCTTTATCGTAAGTACGTACAAGTAATAAAAGTTTAGTATTAAAGTTAATTAAAATGATTCAGTTAATAACTTTAAATCTACCAACATTTTCGCCTAGATAGACAGACGTTTCCAATTCAATCGATTAATTATGTAAATTGCAAACCAGTGGCCACTATTTAAAGTATTCCTTTGTATTTCTCAATAATTAACTGTGTAATTAACGTCTACGAATATCGACAAATAATAATAATAATAATAACACATCTTCTGCTGTCCATATCACTTTTATTCCATACAAATAGTACTAAGAGAAGAAATATGTAAGACTTCTTAAATATTCGGTGTTAAATGCAATATTAATAAGATGATACAAATTTCTACATACAGAATTTAAGCCTTGCCCAAGATGTCACAAAGGCATGATAACTATATTTTGTGAAACGCATCAAAGAGTATTATATAAAATATACGTATGCCTAAGATTAACGGGTCGTTTGGCAGTTGCATGAATTAGGATCAAAATATATAACGATATTATCAAACGTGTAGTAATCACAGAGTATGTAAATAACTAGATAAGACGTACAAACATGAACACATGGCCAATATTTCGACTTAAATATTCTGCATCTACGTACAGCTGCTTCATGAATCCTAGCTTGTCGACATTTTTTCTCGTATTACGTTTAAAGTTAGCAGTAACTCTAATAATTTTAGATCTCTGCAAATTTTTTCATCATGATAGCTTAGTAAATAGTCGTGTGCACAGTGAGAGAAGAGAGAGACTTGAATAAAGAAAATTGGTGGTAACCACCAAAAACATTAGAGCCAGCTGTTTACTCATTCTATCACATTTTAGTATTTAGTGTCTAACCATAGCAGCACATTATATTTATAACACAAGCAATAATTTCTTATTGATCATCGATAGGTGGATCAACTTCATGAAGATTTTCTTGCATTGTAACGGACGAGATGTCTTGGCTATTATGCTTTATCTTGCCCAACTTAGAGGCAACTCTATCTAGTTCTTCAGAATCGTTTTCATCCGTGACTTCTTTTTTGATTTCTATTACATCTTCATCCTCTTCGTCAGTCTCTTCCATTACGCCTAAATTCTGATTTTGCATTGTACTAGGTTTCGTAGGTAAACCCTTCAAAACTAATGGTGTATCTTGTCGCTTAAGACCATGCTTTTTACCAGTGGCAACTTTACTGGCTTCCATATTAGATTTCGTATCTGCTTATTAATACATATATATAGATATGGGTGTTAGGTGAATAACTTTCTTAAAATGTAAAAGAAATAAAATATAAAATTGCCAATATAGTAGAGTTGTGAAGGTAGATATAGCATAATAATAGAGCTGAAATAATGTTTTTATTATTTAGGAGACTGTCTAACCTATTAAATTTATGGGTTCTTGTCTCTTATTGAAAGGGAAGTAAGAACCTAGTAATTTTCTATAAATTGCATCATCTTGACTTAAAAAAACACAAAAAATGATGCTATCGACCTGAAAAAAGTAGACGATAAATCGAAACAACATCAGAATTCTCTTGAATCCATCACAGAACTAGGCCATTTATTTTATACTAGATGGTAATTACATTTTACAACTGTCGATAGTTATGATACCGACAAGACAAAGCTACCGTATCGTGTTATATTAATGAATCAAGTATAATCCGACAAACAGATAATGATATCAATTGAACAGACATCGAAAAAGTCATCAAAATAAAATTTCTCTCTTACAGCATCGAAATTATCGTCCTTATCTAGCCACTTTCTGATGGTTTCTAAAGCAACATGTGCAGCTGCATCATTCGGATAACCTATTGTTTTAATGCATGAAAATAATCATCATAGATTTCGCAACAGTAAAAAGGAACGTAATAAATAGAAGCCAAAGGGAATTATCTAAGTTAGCAGTATACAATAAATACCGTAAATACCAGTCGAGATACAGCAGAAAGCCTGCAGTCAAAAAAATAAATATTGTATTACTTGTTTTAAAGAATTTAAAACTAAAAAAAATTGGTAGTGATTGCATTTTATCAAAGTCAATTTAATTTTTAGCCAACGTCATTAAACACATTTTCTATCGTATCTAAAGTTAGCATGAAATAACTGAGGATATAGAAGCCGTTCTTACTATAATAATAACCATTCATTAAGTACATTAAGTAATTTACAGTTCTTACCACAGAACGAATTTGATGAACTTTTGCCAATTCTAAACAACGATTATAACAGCTAGTCAGAGTCTTTGGTTCTTGACCAATTGGCCCTACAGTATGAATAACGTCTATATACATACAAGAAATTAAAAAGTATAGTCAACATCAAATGTAAATCGATTGAACATAAATGATATTTTTATGAATGATGTCATAGGGCTATCAAAACGAATAAAGATACAGTACAATCGATAGTTTTTACAGTCAGATAAGTTAAGATAACCCTTATCGCTTTTTTTATACTCTTAAAAAAATATTATTTAACGTAGGAAGTTTTGATATAACTCGTAATACGACAACGACACCTTCTTTATTCAACTATTGAGACAAGTATCACTGGAAAAAAATCTAAGCCTAATTTAATGTTTATTGTAACTACTGTAATTATAGTAGAACGTTTACTTTAAGAAAAAGTCAGGGTAATATTTGCTAATTGTATAAATTATAAAATAACTTACGTTTGGCCGGTAAACGGTAACCTATAATTTAACAAGAACGTAAAAACGACGTTATTAACGTTTTAAGTGTATATAGTTGCAGATATTTATGTCGTTTTTGTAGTTAAATTAAGATTTTTGATATGAGTAAAAGAATGGATAGGAACGTAAAGCAGCTGTGACATGAAAGTATATTGTAAACTTTAGACAATAACATGACGCGATTACAATTAGTGTACATGAACTGAAAAGAATTACGATGTTAATAACATGAATAAGATGACTACAAGAACACATTTGATATTAGGAAGCAAATAATAACAATACAAATAGGTACTATGCACAAGGTAGACAAAGCTTATATTCAGCCTATTGTTTTCCAAAATGATAATAATAAAGGAAGAGTTAATGATATAAAATAATCTCCATGTGTAACTATTTTAAAGCTAACGACTACTGGACATCCAGTCAATTGTATAGTTACTTCAATTAGGACAACGCTGTAATGAGTCATTTTCTATTGCGTAGTTCTGTGCGGTATCGTAAATAAACACAGTTTTGATTGAACTGTACACTTATTAAAAATTTTAAGGCCAATTTGACATCAACTTAAACATATATTGTTTATACCCACATACGCTTAACCAACGAAATATATTACAAATTTAAGGCATAAAGTCTAGCTAAATTTATTAATATTTTATATATATACCATATATCAACTCATACATGTAAATATATTATTTATGTAAAATATTGACTAAATCGATAGAATTCCAACCTTTAGTAATTTTGGCATTGCCAGGTTCACAGCCATTTAGTCGATAGCATTCATCAGCAAGTTCACGACCGGCGGCACGATGGATAGCTCCATCAACTAATTGATTAACAACGATTAAAATTGATAAAGAAAAACAACACCTTTGTTCTTGATTGAATTTTCTTTTGTTAGCAAATAATTATAGCCTAAACGATGTATAGCATATCTAAGGCTTTCGAAACCATTTTGGCGCTAGTCAACGATATTATTGACAAGAAATAGGACTTTAAGAGTTAATACTTCAAGACGTTGAGATGCAATTAATGACTTCCATTTTGACATACAGCAATATTATAACATTTCGATCATCATGACGATCGATTACATATACTACTGTATAACTACTGTGGTGTAGTATTGTCAAGATTACGACACGGAGGAAATTGACCGATTAAAATATAGACTATCAGTCGTGACGTTTCAAAATTGGATACTACACTTGACGATTTATTCATTAAACAACAACATTCATCCTTTCATACACATATTTGAAAATTTCAATAAATATATAATTAGGAGCAATTTGTGATTGTGCTATTTTTGAACAAGATAAACTGATCACGTTACCTCCACCACCGCCTAAGAGTGACGAATTAGCTAAAATGAGAAAAAAGAAATAAAATTCAAAAATTTGAGATTACAGGTATTAGTTAAAATAATTACATTCATGGGCTATATATATTTAATAAATAGAACAGATATATGATTCGTATGAGTATCAATGAGCAGTGTATATTATTTTTTCCTTAATAGTCTGAATAATAGCGCGAGAATACTAAACAATCCACAGAAATAAATCTATTGCCATGCTAGTAACAAATGCTGTATTAAACCTACAGTTATTGTTATCTTGGACAATAACAAGCATGCAGCATGCCCACTGTACCAGTGATTAGAAATATCATTATCGACATTATTATTATAGAAAGTAAAAAGTGCATTTACTGCTCGCTGCCAAGGTGTTTATTATGAATAAAGAAAAACGTCTATTAGATCTTACAAGAATAGCCGATATAATTTATTGTTTTATTTATTTGAAGCATGTTACCGATAGAATGTACCCACTCAAACAGTATACGTATATGTATGGACTCATTTCAAGCAACTACATTTACACTGTACATGTTATCTTTACTTAAATAACAAAAATGAAATTTTTATATTCTATTTTAATGATTCATTAAAAAGCTCGTTGCTCTACTCAACGCTAGCATTTTTAGGTCCCTAATAGCACGATAATTACGTCATTATACCTAACCAAATTGGGTAGATCTAGCTCATAAATTGAAATTGAATGTTTCATACGAGTACAACAATCACAATACTGTAAACTGTATTTGTATTTACATTAACCTAACCTAACAGCTATAAGCAATGATGTACTACAGCAGTTTATTTATTTAAATCAACTAGGAGGGACAATAATATTGGTATGGGCATATATTGTGGCAATTTTATCGTTATTTTTAGATTTCAATTACGAACATCTTTTAAAATGATTGATTACAAATGTTAACAAATTGATCTGTAGAAAATAATTGAAAAGCATCTATACATAAAATATTACCATTAATCAAGTTGAAAAAGATATAACAAATATTTACCTGCATTGACGATAGCATCAATTTCTAATGTTGTGATATCACCGCGAAAAAGGTAAATTTTTTCGTTGAATAATGGGTTGAATTCATAGCGGGGAATTTCAGGTTTAACTATAGAATGAAATCAATAGCATTTTCAATTCTTAATCCAGTATTTTCATTGATCATATCTTATTAATATCATTTATAATATTTACCGATCCAATCATAATAAAGGCAACAAAACATTTTACATTTGTTAAGCTTATACTACTTCTTTTTTGGGGAAATATAAAATCATAGCCATCAACCGAATACCGTTCACTAGACAGGCATATTTTGCATGATCATAATTTTAATGACCAAAAATAGAATTTTATACTCCTCGTAACTATTTTCCCTTGAAGCTTTGATTTAGTGTGAATGAAAAGTAATTTGTTACTGAGGAATGATGTTAAATCAAATTAATTACGTTTAATGGACTTTCTAAATAAAGCCTTTTTTAAGTGGATTGAAGCTAGTCATCAAGTTTGGATATCATTTTTATGATGAGGGCATTGAGTAATTATTATTAATGTAATTGTTAAGGCCGGTAGAAAGATCATAATTGAATGATTTGTATCTGTATTAACGTTAATTAAACAATTATCAACTTTGGGTATACCTTACAATTTATCTACATGTTCGGGGTTAAACCTGATGGGAAAGTCTTTATTTTACCTGTAGCTCAATCTAGTAGATTGGATTTTTAAGACCCTTTGCAATACATTGTAGAATAACATTCCTAAACTATCATAATAATGCAATAAGCCTAAGGGTTATATCATCGATAATAAGTAACGATATTCATAATATTATTATAACTCCGTTAAATAGAGAATTCCATATACAATTAATGGTTGTCAAGGATGAGGCTATTTGACTGAGTTCTAACCACAGCTTGTTAACTACTATTGAAAAAATACCATATCGATTAAAGGCAGCTGTTAAGCGACTTTGTATTAATTGGACAAATAATTGATGCAGACCATCTAGTTCACACAACATACTGTATCAATAGACATTGGATAATAATTATAAATAATTAATATGGATGGAGAGAAATTTGCTAACATTGGTGTATAGAATGGACTATTTCATTTACATTGACAACACTTTTTTTTCATCACAGGTTTACTACAAGATTGTAATGTCCTCCCTTTAGATATTGACTTTTAGCATCGTCTCATTTGTATAGCAAATAAGTTGTTTTGAAAGTAGCATTTCAATGCTTGTATGTACTTCAAAGTATGGTATACAATCATTTCATTTTATCAATACTATCATTATTCTCTTGCTAAGCAAATAGCCTGGCTAGCTAAATAATTTCAAGGTGAGTGTACAATATAGCATTGACAAGGTTGGATAGGAGATCACAATTTACCTTTAATAGATCAATGTAAAAATATTGGACTGTTGTCATAGGATATGGAGATGAAATGACATAAGAAGAAGGCCATCGATATGCAAGTGATTGTTATCATTTTAATTCAGTGCAAAGGAAACTATCATAAGTGTACTCTTGCATTTTTATAACCCTTAATAAGACAATCATTCCATCAAGATAGGAGTAAATGTGTGTGTGTGTACTATTAATTACATATGGGTACTGCCATGAATTTAGTAGCCCTACATGTGTTATTGTGATCAATTGTTTGCATTCAAGATGAGAGAATTTAATGAGGTAGGAGAAGGGATTGAAATCATCTTGATGTACTAAAAGTATTTCAAGTAGGCTGATCGAGAAAGTGATTGATATTTCAAGCCAATTTCTCCTTGAAAATCCTATTGATTAATTAGTTGAATAACGAAATACCAAGCCACTGATGGTCTTCATCATCCTTACAGCATATTGTGCCATACTGATAGATGATACTTTTGTAATATGTACAATATTGGTGCTTGGCCTAGAGTATTTCAAACTCGGTATTGTCATTAATTCATGTTCTATTTCTGTCTATACGTGTAGGTATCCAAGTGGAAAGTTGTTCAAACTGATGACATATCATCTAGTCTATCCTTTCAATCTGTTGCAACTATCATATTGAATGAGTTTAACTTCTTGGTTGTGAACTCGAGGAAAGACTACACTGTACTTTTACAGAGTTGCATCACTTGCTAATTGTACAATGTACAGTACATGCATGTGTTATATCCACTACTATCCTTCGATCGATTTTGATGCTATGATATGTGTTGTCAACTTAGCTACAAGTATTTATTAAAACATGGCGAGTTTTAATAGGTCTGCGTGTGTAACGTATTATTCATAAACTACTTGTATAGCTATCAAGAAGTATTTAAACGTTCGGTAAGCTTGCATCATTAGATGTACTCATGAAAAAAGAGAGTACGACAATCGTATGCACTAAGAGATGATATCGTACATATGTTATGATATGTGTAGTAATATCGACTATGTAAAGTAGGCAAGGACTATGATTAATTTAATACGAAGCACTGTAGTTGCAGAGTAGATGTACCAAAGCCTAAGTACAGAATAAGACTACTAAATAGTATTGCTTCTGATATAATACCATGCAGATGTTACATCGCTATCTGCGTATCCTTGCAATAAAGCTAAACGTTATTCTGAATCATCTGCATATCGCGTGTGATCGTTATCCTATATAGTCTTGGATCTAATGTATGACTTCGCCATTACATATGTCTTTTATCATAATCAAGCGAGTAGGGTTTACAAGTAGTAACAAGGAGAGTCATTAGTTTGCATTCTTATTGTTGATGATGATTGCTAACTAATCGCTGACAGAGTCGATATGAAAAGGGTAGCAAGGCCATCTAAATTTCATCCTTGGATGATGATTGGACTTTCACTTTTAATTAATTGAATCAATAAGCAATCTAATATGTATGCTCGGGTTGGAAGATATCCTACTACCATCCTGATCATCCATGTTCTTATGGTTTTCTAGTTTATCAAGCATTAAAGCAAAACTATAATGCACGATTACGTTAAGATGGAAAACTTACATTTGCGCAACATTGCAAAACTAGGACCATCTTTAGACCATGGCATCAGCTTTTCCATGGTGATATATTGATCACCACATCGATAATGCTTGCGTTTCTCCATGACAGTCAAAGTAGAATAGTCTAATGAACGCTTTCTATTGTCATCTCCTGTTGCTGTAAGATATTAAATGAAGTAAAATTTAAGTCAAGTAGGCAAAGAGTATCGCCATTCCAGTGACTAATGACGAGAAGATCGATGATAATAATAAATCACTTAATCACGCCGCCTATCAACATATCGGCCATGGAAAAGAAGAATACTGTATGGGTCTAAGTAGCAGGCGTACGAGTAAGGATCGATGTGTTAATAATGCTTGTCTAGCTAGTGTCTATTCAATTTGAACACCTCGTGAAATAGAATCGAAGTCATCTTCTCCTTTCTGACTACTTTGGCGTGCCAATGGCGTAAAATGATCTTGGATAGATTTACTGCCTTGATTTGCGCTATTTTTAGTAGAAGAAGTTTTCATAGCTCGAGTGGATTGAGTGGCCAAGTGATTTGCAGCTGGTTGTCTCCGTCCAGTCGAAATCCACTCAGTCATGACTGGGCATCCTTTCCGTCTACAGTACTTGAAGGATCGAGTACTACGCCCAATAGCCCATAGGAGTCCATATGCTATGTTGGACAAGACTCGGTAGCGGTACCATGCAGCCATGTCATGCTGTAAAGTCTTCAAAATAGTCTACTGGATAGAATAGAGACTATTGTTGGGCTGCTTTGTGGCGGAAATGATGCACTAACAGTTTGTCTACTTTCTATGTTAATTATAGCATTAATTCATGTTGGACTGCCGGACTACCTGCCGCCGGTAGACTGATGGCTGTTTGGAAAAAGTGTTTAGGCGGCTTTCCACGACGGATTGTCTTTTTAGCTTGCCTACAGTATGTCGACATCATAGGGGTAATGGTCTGGATTGACTGTTGGGTCATAGAGCTCCTCATTGAATCTTTGCACTTTGGAAATATCCACACTACGTAACTCGATGGTTATTTTGCAGCCAATCTATGATCAGTTGTGGACTAGTGCAAATCCACTATGCCTAATAGAAAGAAGCATTTGCAATCTTTTTGGACATTCAGTACTGTTCGTGCAATAGTGGCACTTTCGAAATATCAGTTGCATTTACTTTGTACATCGAGGAACCTGTAATCAGTTATAGACTACTACATGTAATTTAGTAGTCCATAGTTCCATATGTTCAAAATGAGCCCCATTGCATGCCGCCGATGCTGACACAAATGACATAAAATGGCGATAGTGTCGACCTGTTCGAACAATCGTTGATTTTACAGGTAAAATCCAACCGATTTAGCAACCACTACTCTACTCTACACAGATCAAAATGAACCCCATTGCATGCCGCCGATACTGACACAAATGACATAAAATGGCGATAGTGTCGACCTGTTCGAACAATCGTTGATTTTACAGGCAAAATCCAACCGATTTAGCGACCACTACTCTACTGTACACAGATCAAAATGAACCCCATTGCATGCTGCCGATGCTGACACAAATGACATAAAATGGCGATAGTGTCGACTAGAGACCCTCTATGATCAATCGCTGATTTTACAAGCAAAATCCAACCGATTTAGCGACCACTACTTTACAGCACAAATGACATAAAATGGCGATAGTGTCGACCTGTTCGAACAATCGTTGATTTTACAGGCAAAATCCAACCGATTTAGCGACCACTACTTGCCTGTACACAGATCAAAATGAACCCCATTGCATGCTGCCGATGCTGACACAAATGACATAAAATGGCGATAGTGTCGACTAGAGACCTTCTATGATCAATCGCTGATTTTAAATAAGGCAAAATCCAACCGATTTAGCGACCATTACTCTACAGAACAGTGTACTCTTACTCACTTTACAGTACTACTAGCTACTGCCAACTACCAACTGAGCTAAGCCTACAGTAGTATACTATTTACTGTAGGCGTACAGTATGCAGCTGGCAGTGATTTCGGGCAGAAAACATCCTTCTTCAGAAGTTCTTCTACAGCTGGAGACAAGCATTCGTGCAGGCATACTCTTAGGTTACATTTATTATTGGAGTGCGTACTACGCGTTGCAATCTATTGCACTTAATCCGCAACTTGATTCAAGCATCACATTTTTATTATAATATAGAATCAACTTGACGAAGGGGTAAGTGGTAGCCATGAGTTCAAAGTTTGTTAAGCATAGCAATCTACAGAAACAAGTTTTACGCCTATATAGAAGCATGCTGAAAGCAAGTAAGCAAAGACCTGGTGCAACTGCTCTCATCAAAAACGAATTTAGGAAAAATAATAATATCCAACGTCATAATATCATGCACATTGAATATTTACTACGCCGAGGGAAAAAGCAATTGCAGCTACTCAGCAAGACTCATCTGGATGATATCACCACCATAAGATAATGCAATGCAACGATTCAGTATCACCCTGCAGCCTGTAATATGTATAGAAATTGCCATTTAAATTGGATCAAGGGCAATCTTGTAGCAAGTTACAAATTATTCTCTACTCACAGTATAAAATAAACTTGTATTCATAATGATATGGTTAATTATCCATCGATCGGTAGTTTATTGCTGTATAATGCAGTTTGTGAAGATAGCGCCACAATCGTGGGATGTAGTTATACGCCTATTTTGTATACTGCTTTTACTGCTATATACATTTTTGACATCCGGGATATACAAAATGTAATTCTTCCTAAGATATTTCTAATACATCTAGACGCGTATATACTGTACAAGTGTACATAGTATGCAAGTTACCATTTCATATGCCGCATGCTGGTTACAAACTCCATCTTTTTATTTATCTTCAAGCCAAGCATGAAGAAAGTACGGCCAAATGCTAATTTTTAAGCCATGCATTAGCTATTAGCGATGGTAATACATTGTATTTTGACTGTACGAGTACTACTTGTATTATAGGCTGTAAGTGTTGTACACCGTAACTTTGTTAGTCGTATGCTACGTATAAGTTACAACATCGTATGGCATAGTAATTTCAACCAAGACAGTTGCCAATGAACTACTATACTGCCACTAGGTACAGTAGGAGGTGAGATCGATTTAGATCAACTCTTATATCAATTGATTGTAAATAGTAACTGTTCAAAATTTGTATCATGCTATATAGGCCATAGAATATAAAAATGTCTAAAAATTACACATTTAAGAGTTATTCTTAATACGAGAATAATACAGTCCGTAAGTATAAGAATCATAATTTTAATGTTTGGCATAATTTTTTCATAAATCATGTCATACCAGCTATCGACAAGATTTATACTCTCGCTTTAATTACCGCCACCTGATAGACAGTATCATGGATATTTATTAACAAAAATTGATTCGAATGTAAGGCAGAATGTCGTGCCCAAAACAAGATCCAAGTGCATAATGCAGACTGTACAATTCATAAACGAAAATGTATATTTCTATAGTGTTCTCATGCTAAATTATAAATAAATTATTATAACAACCTTAAAGTTATTTACATCGTTCAATGTTACAAGAAATACAGTTGAAACAACTAAGCATGTGTAAAATTGATGCTATCCTCCTTATTCATCATCATCATCAAAGTAACTATCTTCTTCAATATCGCTATTTGATGATGACGGCTGATCGAATACATATTTAATATCTCGCGCTTTAGAGATTTTTTTCGGATAAGTCAACTTCTTCTATAATAAGGAAAAAAATCGATTCAAAACATTTCATATCCAATATATTTTTACTAACTGAATAGCAAGAGATTCAGTAAAGCGAATGCTATAGGTACTATACTCAACGAAAACTACAGGTACATACAGTACCTTCAGTGGCAATATTTTCCGACGTCTTCCTTTACGACCGTGTTTAATTTTATGTATATATGTGTCTATTTTATCTCTATAACAGTAAGAACAGAATTGAAATTCAATAATTGATCATGAGCTGAAATTAGCGTGATGATAGTGTTATATAGACATACCTATTAACAGGTTCCAGCAAGCATAAGCTATCATTTAATGAATTACTTTTCTCTATATCCGAAGACTCGTTTTTTTGATTTTTAATACATTTTTCGTCACCATCAGTTTCATCTAAACTATCTGATAACTGAAGCTAATAACGCGAGGGATATGATAAAAAAGTATTGTAAGTGTATGATTTCATAGGTTACAGCAAAAATTTTACAGTCTGCTCAATTAGCACTTACTTTCAATGATTTACTGTTACGGTAAGGTGATGATTCGAAGAGGTCATCTTCGTGGTCCTTTGCTTGTTCGTTCAATATCCTTCGCACTCCTTTTCGGCCCTTCTTTAAATCTGCAATTACAAGATATCAATAAATTTCTTATAGCCTCGTCTATAGACAAGTGTAAATTTTTTGCGTTACTAACTTGTTAACTTGCTCGCTGCTTTATTAGACTTTTTATAGTTTTCTCTAGAAAATTTGTCTTGATAGAGTTTTCTACATTCATCAGCGGTACAATTGCCAACGCGCTTAGCCACCTTTTGCCAATAGCGTGCTGTAGAAGGACATACATCTGCAGCACAACTATTAGGCAAGGAAAATTAAAAATTGATAATTATTAAATTGAAAATCGAAAGCATTACAGTATACTAGTTCGCATTGGCTATATATTTATTCTGCAGGCCATGAATGCAAAAATGAACTACATCCGTAATTAATACAAATTCGAAAATTATACCTGTATAATAAATTTAGCCTATCTTTAGACCATGTTGTTTGTGAAGATCTACGCTCTATTTGAGAGTAGGAAGAGAAGATATTATTTGGAGTACTAGTACTATTAGTTAACAAATCTGTTTAGGTAGTTTCATAATACACTGTAAACTGCAAAACACGTGGTATAATTATTGTAGTAGATTAATATGCTACAGTGATATTAATTGTTCATGACAAGGTATCTACCCTAATTTTTTACAAAAATCTTAATTCTAATGTGGTTATTCATATCTTTTTAGAAACATAAAAAAATATTGTATATATCTTCAAACTGGCAAAAATCTTTTATAAATAAATAACAATAATTCTAAGGAATATACTTGCAGTTCTACGCTGTTTATTAGGAAAGTCGCTTTCTGTAGGTGTACTATTTCCATTTCCATTTTTCTAAAAGTCAAAGTAAGGAAATAAATATATAGGATTATGTTCCATGAGCAAATAAATTTGTAATTAAACGATTAATTTAGCCATTGTACTGAGTTAAGATTCGTATGTATATTATATCGAACGATCTAACTACACATTTTGAATATATACGTAGAAAAAAGCATAAAACCATCTCTAATATATGTAGTCACAGATATTTTTAACGATATATCGCAATTTACGATCGTCACTTGTAAAGCAAAATATTACCTTGGAATAATTAATGAAATGAATTTGAGCGCTGGGTTTAGATCCTACGGAAACTCTTACTTCACCGCACACTTCTCTTATTCTTTCACCTCTCCAATAATCCAAGGGTGGAATAATCTTGCGTCCACTTCGTGTTACCTGGGTCATAAATTGAAATTGCAAATATCAGTACTAAGTTAAAGTAATTTTAAAGTTATACGGAAATATCAAAGGAACGTGGGACTTGGTCAATTCTCAATATTTAATACGAGAAGTACACTATCAAGGTAAATACAAACTTTATCTTACACAACGTACATTCTTCGATTGTGGCTCATCACACGATTCAATATTGGTTGCTGGTATAATTTACGAAAATTGAAAAGCAATCTAAATCATTATTATATTAGAGTGGGAAAGTCATTTGATTGGATAAATGAATTAATTACACACCCTTCCTATGAAAGGTATTACTTGTATTTCTTGGTGAAACTTTTGATTTAACAGACCCCTTTGGTCTGCCTCTTTTTCTGTTCGATGGTAATTTGTTTACCGTACTTTTAGTCTTCATTTGCTTCTTTTTTTGTTTTGCAGGACTATACAATTGTTCCATTAATGATTAATGGGAAGAATGAAGCGTTGTAGTTGTTCATGTAGCTCTTAGCTTATTTAGAAACATATAGTACGCGCAAGTGATTGGAGTTGTCAAAGGTTAGCTCCTTTGTAACATACTCCGCTAAGTCGAGTGACTGAAACTTACAAATTGTATTACAAACTATTTCACTACTAAATGTGGCGTACATGCAATAAATAAGACTTCATTGTAGGTGAGTGTGTAAGTCATAAGATAACTAAATCTATCAAGCAAAGTATATCAAGATTACCTTTCCTTATCGCTGTGTAGGACGACATCAGCTTTTGGGAGTATCATCCTATCTTCTAATTTCATTCCAATACCAGAATTCAATGGGGATTCCTTAACTATTTCATCTTCATATGCGTCAGTATACATGGAACCGGAACTATCAACATTTGATAGACGTGCCGCCAATTTTTGACATATTTCAGTAAGTGATACATTCGGTGGAGATATCGTAATACTATCCAGGCTATCTTTTTGATCACAATTATCCAAATCATCTATTACAACGTCTTCATCGGAATCTGATAAAGTATGAGCATAAGTGCAGTGAACTGCACCACAATCAGTCTTTTCTGATACTAGTATATCATTTGGTATTGACTCATTTTGACGATTACAATCGTCAAAATGAGACAATGCCAAATGATTAGTTGATAGGGGCGATGAGGAAGACAGATCCATCTTCTTATATTTATCCCAGCTCTAGAAAACGATCGCAAGCATGATAAAACTTAGCTAGGATGAATTTTAACATCGATTAAATGATTGATGTTATTGTTACAGAATCAATATCTAACTAATGGAAGAATTACAACAAAGTATTTCTACCTTTGTTAAAGCCGTAGTTCAATAATTTTATAATCATATTCTTGAATACTGAGGTTTGGTTACATACCATATTAAAAATATTTTGAACGTACTTTTAATCAAATAATTAAAAATTGAATGTGACTAAACTAAAAAACCTTCAGTCATAGTTACACACTTTAATAGGACACATAAATAGCTCTTGAGAGTGAACAATAATGATAATATTAGTTAAGCGTCTAAAGTGATCGTCTGCTATCAACTCTATGTTGAAAAGTTTATCGTATATTGGGCGATGTCGAATTTACTAGAACAAGATGATATTTCAGTAATAGCTAGTAGATATTTTTGACCACATAAAATTAAAGGTTGATTCGGTATGTTCTAGTAGACCACTACTTCTTCGTGTGTATCAACTCTATGTTGAAAAATTTTATCGTATACTGGACGATGTCGCAATTTACCATAACAAGATGATATTTCAGTAATAGCTAATAGATAATATTTTTTACCACATAAAATTAAAGGTTGATTCGGTATGGTCTAGTTGACCTCTGCTTCTTCGTGCGTATTAGTTGCGATCCCCAAAATTTCCACTCATAAGTGTGTCGATAGACGGGCTCAGTAATGTTATAAAGCAGTACAGGATGTATACGAGTTGAACGTAAAAAGGAGACGAATAATCAACAATCAACACATAGCAATATTCGATAATATCATTAAGAATCTTGTCACTATTGTTGAATATTGACGTCATGAACCCTTTACGATCACTCATTCACACTTCATTTTGTACCTTTACAGGCAAATACTGCTTTAATAGGCGACAATATTTGCCAATAAAGTGTCGTGATTGCCAGCACTGTGCACATAAAGGTGGAAAAGTGTGATTCATAGAACTCATAAGTTATACGTACAGCGAATACAGTAATTGGCATGGTTGGTCGACATTGAATCACAATTTGTTGGTTCGGACTTCTGAGGGAGGATTTGCAACTGTTTGCACAATGAAAGGTCTGCCAAATGTTCATTCTTTCCAACTCTGAAATGTGATCTGAGACTCTTAAAATCTACATACTGCACAAGGCAGCGATTTATTTCACAAAACCACGTGCACACACTGGTACGTATCTGCAAAATGTGCTCTATGCTGCGAAGTAGATTACCAGCTTTGTCTACGTATAATAATTACTGTAGCTTGTGCCTTGCTTAATCAAGTAACGTACAGTAATATCTGTAATATTAAAACATTATTAATGGCCAACACAGCAATAAAATTATGCTTTATAGGATAGGATAGGATAGGATGTACCAAAAGAATGATTTAGTGACACATAAGATATTCTTCGTGGCCGAAACAAACCATTTCGTCCATACTCGTATACGCAGTGCATACAATGAATCATACAGGTATTTCGTGGACAGTCTTCAAAATGTTCACTGTATAGTACTGCATACTACTGAGCAATACTTCATATCATAAAGGTAAACGTACTAAGCATATCAAATTGGAGCTCTGAAATCAGCCGCAAAATTGATTCATTGCTAATAAAATAATTTACATAGTACTGCATACTACTGAGCAATACTTCATATCATAGAGGTAAACGTACTATGCATATCAAATTGGAGCTCTGAAATCAGTCGCAAAATTGATTCATTGCTATTAAAATAATTTACATCGAATTCGGAAAGAATACTTACGCCTATTCTAGCGATCGACTATCAATGGAGTCCTGAATTAGCTTAGAAACAGTCAATGCGGCAATAAGTATTGGAGAATGGGATCTCATCAGAACGACAGTAAGAGTTTACTACAGTAATACTACACAGTGCGGTGCTGGATTAGGGTGATTTTGATTACAATTCGTATGTACTGGTATATGGTATGTGCTGTGAAGAGTGCTGTAGAATAGATACAAGCAAGTATAGGACACTAAAAGCAAGACCAAAAGTAGTCCATAACTTGTCTAAAAATGTGAGTCCAACATTTATCCATCCAGTACAAGTACAGTACTGTAGACTCGGTTAGGATTAATTTAAGAATGATTTCACGTGAAGTACTATAAACTGCTAAAATAAAGGCTAACATTGAGTGGCATAAAGTATACAGTCAAGTATATTAATGCGGCGGTGATGATGATTTCTGGCATAACAGCAAAATGATGTTATTGCTTATGCAATACTGTACCCGCGCTATAGTAACATGAGTTGAAAAAGAGTATTGCATCAATTTTGTATCTTTCGCACACAATATTTAGTCTTGATTCAAATACGGTGAAAACAAGCAGCGATAGTTTAGCGCGGTAGGATTAGGATAGGGTAGTAAGTCGGCTTGCAGGAAGTAGGTACCAAATAAGTGTAGAGTAACATTCTCCATATTTGTACTGTTGATGCATTCGATGACAGCACCTCCAAATAGTTTAGTACAGGAGTAATGTCGAAACTAATTGTAAAAGATTTCAATATGGTGAAAACAAGCAGCGATAGTTTAGCGAGGTAGGATTAGGATAGGGTAGTAAGTTGGCTTGCTGTAGTAAGCAGGTACCAAATAAGCGTAGAGTAACATTCGCCATATTTGTACTGTTGACGTGTTCGATGACAGCACCTCGAACTAGTTTAGTACAAGAGTAATGTCGAAACTGATTGTAAAGCTACCTTTTCAAGTTCCAATATTCTTTCTCAGGGTTCATGAATCAGCAAATGGTCTTGTTACGTAAAGCTGCGCAACAGCTAACTCTACCGTATACGAATATGACATATATTATATAATCATTATAACACTCAGCTATCGAAGTCACCAGTATCGACTTTATGTGCAGTAGTGGTAGAATCTGGCCATATCTTTTCATATTCGTCTTGTCAATACGATCCTTACACTATATTGTTGGTAAACCTACTACATTGCAGTAGTCTAGTTGCGAATCCTATATAGCATACTACTGTACTGGCATTGTATCATTCTCTGTAGAGAATCGTTAGTTGTATTTACATTTAGTAATCATTTCTAGTGTGGATAGCGTCAGAGTAAAGTGCAGGAATTGTAATCTTCAAATGCTGCAGTTCCTCGCGATGCTCTACACAGCATACTACTGTACTGGCATTGTAGAGAATCGTTTGTTGTATTTACATTTAGTAATCATTTCTAGTGTGGATAGCGTCAGAGTAAAGTGCAGGAATTGTAATCTTCAAATGCTGCAGTTCCTCGCGATGCTCTACACAGCATACTACTGTACTGGCATTGTAGAGAATCGTTTGTTGTATTTACATTTAGTAATCATTTCTAGTGTGGATAGCGTCAGAGTAAAGTGCAGGAATTGCAATCTTCAAATGCTGCAGTTCCTCGCGATACTCTACAGAAATTCCGAAGATGTGACTGCATTTATTGATCTATTACAATATATCGTCCAATAAAGTGCAAGCTACACTATACATAGATCAATGTAAACTAGATGTGGTAGTGCAATCAGGTGGTGTAATCTATTGATCAATTTACAAAGTACAGAATCCATGTCGCATGATAACCTATACAAGTGGTCAATGTACCTTCGGTGCTGGGCTGTTTTGATATAATTCCTCGAATTTAGAATTGACAACCGATACAATCATGTGATCACCACGGACCATATCATGTAAAGAAACATTTTGAGGGTTGAGGAAGGACTTTTTAGCCACTGTGGTCGTACGAAGAGTGGAAATCGATGAACTGTTGAGGCGATTATCTGCCATAGTTTTGCTTATTCCATTTCCGTTGCCAGACTATCCTATCGGATTGCAATTTGCGATGAAGAAATACCACATCCAGTACAGTACATGTTGGTTACAACCTGATGTCGAGTACTGTAACCTGTTCAGTAAGTGTGGTACAAACTACTGTCCTCTACAGTACAAACTATCCACTTACGCTAGTTGCACTGCATGCTACTGTAGTGAACTGTAGAGTGCACTGCGCAGGCCCGTCAACAAGGACATACCCCGTATTGCTCATCTGTTCACTGCTCAGTACAGTCATGGGCGATAGTACCGTGACTGTCTATCTGAAACCATCTCCTGTACTCAGTGTATGCGGCCTGCGGTATTGTCAACCCAATAAATGAGCTGCTTGATAGGTTTGATTGAGTCATTGATATATGTATCTGTTCAACACAGTACTGTAGATTGGTATTTTATACATGCAATATACTGTAGGAGAGTTGCATAGTGATATTGATGCAGTCGATTTTACACATAGGATATAGGGGAGTCGTAGATTGATGTTGATCCGAATGATTAGAACGATACTGGTCAGCTTGATCATTGCCGTGAACGTCCGTTGGCCGTCCCTCCCTTTTCCTATTCACTTGATCATAGTGATTAGTCGCAATCTCGGTGAATGGTGTACGACAGACGACTGACGGAGGCATACTCTACAGTGTACAGTAGAACACTACGGTACTTTAATTGACTGTACGGGTTCACTACAGTACAGTGTACTGTAGCTGACGCTGTCACACAATTTTGATTCTGTACTAGTGTACTGCACCGTGCACAGTATGGTGGCTATTGCACAATGCGCAGTATCATTTCACGGTAACCAATGAAATTCTCTGTTTGGAAAACGCGCGCTTTTTGGATTTGGATAGCTTGTTCGAGCAAGTACCAACCCTAGTGATGACGCCATAGTGTCATTATATCGTATTTAGTAGATCGGCACTATTGCTTTGAGTCAATTTATTTATTTTCATGACTTTGAAGCTGAATTAATATCATAAAGCAAGGATTGAATACAGTAAATGGCTGAAAGGACGACAGAATTTTGACGCAATAGGATGATCATGACAGCATGGACAGTGTTCAGCGATTGATGGGACTGTCAACTGGTGTTGTCACCGATA